GGCATCATCTTAAAATCACTCAACTTATTCCAAAATACTTGATGAACACAAACTGCTCATTGCAGATAATGTAAAAACAAGGAATTTAGTTTTTACCTACTAGTAACGCATTTGTTTATGGAGCAATGAAGTATGAATTCGTTTTCTAAAGGTATTTAGGTAAATATTCATATTTGTCTATATACTTTTGTCTCATTACTGTATATGACAATGCTCTATGAATCTGTTATTACAGATTCCGGTTAAGAATTGTTTTTAAATATCGCCTATCTTGTATTGAATTCGCCATTATTACTGACACTCATCTAGTAACAACAATACATACACTTATGCAAGTAATAAATCAAAATTATCACTCAAGTAAACAAATTACTAATCATAAATTCGCTGTTTATCACCAAATCAAATGGCTTTCCAGTTTATCCGATCCGACTCATCATAATCCGAGAAAACAAGGATTCAGCAAGATTGTATAAAAATCGTTGAAATGCATAAACACTTCATATCGGTTGATTTTTGTACCGTTTTTAGACGACTTCGTTCTTTGGAGATGTTCTGTTTTTCTTAACTGTGAATAACATCTCATTCAACGAAATTTTGTCAATGTAGTAACTTGTTATGGCTTCACATGAAGGTATCTATGGGAAAAACGCTGTCATCAGATCATAAAGGATTAAGCCTAGCACAAGTGAAACTCTCTGAGAAAAAAAATAGTAGCGAACATGAAAAATTAAACCGATCAAGTCGGTCAAACAGCCTCAAACAATTATTCCATATACACTAAGTGACATATAAATCCGAACACCCAGTTTAAATGGTTTTATTTTAATAAAATTTTGTATAAGTACTTAATGAAGCATAATAAGTAAATGATAAAAATTTCAAAATGATTGCACTGCTTTAAAGCCCTTTGACCTTTAATAATGTGTGGATGCACCCTGATGTGCTACGCATTCTCCAACGCGCCTAGGCATGCTTCTGATCAGGTGGTCAATGTCCTCCTGTGGTATCTCATTCCAGGCAACCACCAACTCCTCTCGAAGTGCTTCTAGAGTCTGAGGAGGACGTTGCAAATTGAACAATCTCCTACCCATATCCCACACGTGCTCAATTGGAGATAAGTCGGGAGGTCTTGGTGGCCATGGTAACAATGTGACATCATTATGTTGAAAGAAGTCTATTGTGACTCTTGCAACATGTGGTCGGGCATTATCTTGTTGGAAAGTTGGATCTGCCAGGGTGTCAAGATAGGGTAAAAGATGGGGTTCTAGAACTTCGTGGATATAACGCTGTGCGTTCATGTTACCTCTGATGAAGATTAAAGGTGACCTGGAACCATAAGCTATAGCACCCCAAACCATAACTCCAACAGTGTGATGAACATGTCTTTCAACAAAAAACTGTGGATTCCTCCTTTCACCACGTCGCCTTCTAACCCTGGCAAGACCATCGTGCATGCCTAAACAAAATCGAGACTCGTCACTAAAGACAATACTGTTCCATTCCTGATCCCAGAGTGACCGTTGTCTGCACCACTCAAGGCGATTACGTCGGTGTTCTCGAGTTAAAGGGAGGACCCATTGTGGCCGGTATGAAAACAAGCCAAAACTTCTCATTCGTCGGTAAACACTTCGCATGCCAATAGGTCTTCCGTGTTCTGCAAACCATTCATTTGCAATGGACCTGGTAGTGGAGAAACGGTCCTTTAAGGCCAATAATCTTAGGCGGCTATCTTCACGGTCTGTTGTTCTACGGCGGCGTCCAGTGCCCCTTGCTCTTTGCGTACGGCCTTCTCGAAGCCATGCCTGACAACACCTAACCACAGTGTCTACACTTCTTTGCAACTGCCCGAAAAGAAAGTCCAGCTTCCCGAAGTCTCACTATACGGCCCCTATCAAACTCACTAAGTAGACGAAATCGTACAGGTCTCCGTACTCCAAGCATCGTAACCGATCGTAAAGGATGTCAAGAACCAAAATCCGCCAACGTTGATTCTTTACTGCGGCTGAAATATTCATTTTTAGAGCGTTAGTGAATTAAAAAAAGCAGTATAAAAACCGGAATGTCCAACTGATAAGGCTAAAAATTTTTTCACTTGTTATTTACAGTAAGATAAATACATTCACCAACTTTTATTAAAATAAAACCATTTAAACTGGGTGTTCGGATTTATATGTCACTTAGTATAATTTTTTGAAGTCACGACCAAGTGAAGGTAAACGAGATTTGTACGTTTTAACATCCCTAACATCCACAATTTCCGCCATCATCGTTTGAGCACCTTTCGTTACGAAGTTGAGTCTGCTACTGACCACTCTATTTTTACTTATGTCACTGCTTTGAAGGATATGCTTATTCTCAAAAAGCAAAAGCATATACTTCAAATTATTATAAATACCAACTGGAGGATTTCCTTCAAAATTTACAAGTACAAGGATATCCTTTGTTTTATGAATACGGCTCAATATCCAAAAGCTCCGGCCTTACCTCTGATTCAGAGATAACCCAGCAACATGACAACTTTAAAGTAGCAATCGCTATACACATCCTGCCATGCGAGTGCCAAGAGAAGATAGTTAAGCAGTCATTCAGGCCTAGGATGCCACATCGGCCAAAAGCCATCCTATCAACATCCCCAGCGCTCCGGCATTTTCCCTGATAGAGGAAATCGTACAGTAATTAACATAACTATACTACAACTATTTAAAACTGTAATGACTCATACGCGTGATCAACACGTGATCAGAGCTCGATTCCGGCTTCCTTCCAGTACAGCCGTATAGCGTACGACATATGTCGTTTCTGTGGCTTTGCGGTGGTCAACAGCACAGACAGAGATGGAAATAATGGTTGATTGTTCTCCGCCGGTAGAACCAATGAAATCAAAGACGCGCCTCGACCGGCAAACTCATAGGCGTCGGCAACGCATTGGAACGTGTTTCGTTGAGCGATCGCATATTGTGTGTTTTTATAAGAATTGTTGTGTGATTGTTATTGTTGTGGTTTCTGTGGTTACTGTTTTGGTTATACTTAACCATGGAGAGTACAAATGGCACGAGTGGAAGTACTGAAAGCCAGGGAACAAGTAGACGACTTCGTAAAGAACTGAAGAGGGACGCGAAAGAAATCGTGCTCAACGTGTTCAATTATCTGAACAGAACTATGTCGCAGGGAGATGCACTCGCGCGTTGTGAAAGTATGACAGGCGTTCCAGAGTGGACCATTCGCAGGGTGGTGCATGAAAAGAAGAAAACTGGAGCTACTACTGATCCAAAGTTTAATTTGAAGGGAGGAAAGGCCGTTAAATTGGATGACGATAGCAAAATGGCGTTAAGGCGAACCGTACATTCATTCTTCTTTAGGAATGAGATACCAACCCTCAAGGCTGTACATGCAGCGATCAAGGAAAATGAAATTATACCCCAAATGAGCGTCGAGGTAATGAGGAAATCCCTGCACGAAATTAATTTTCGTTACGAGACGCGTAATCGGAAGTCAGTATTGATAGAGAGACCTGAAATAGTCGCCTGGCGTCGAAAATACCTACGCGAAATGATTGAATATAGGCGACAAAGCAGAAAACTCTATTATTTGGACGAGACATGGGTAAATGCAGGTCACACAGTTAAAAAAACCTGGATAGACAAAAACGTAGCGAGTAACGGACAAGCAAGCATTGAAGGTTTGTCAACAGTTCTTCGTAGACCGTCAGGGAAAGGTCAAAGATTGATCGTAACTCATATTGGTAGCGATAGTGGCTTTTTAGAAGAGTGTGACTTGATTTTCGTCTCTAAGAAAGGAGGTGATTACCATGACGAAATGAATGCCAGCTGCTTCGAGAGCTGGTTTCAAGGGGTGCTTCAGCGAGTTGAACCCAACTCTGTGATCGTCATGGATAATGCTTCCTACCATAGTCGTCGAGCCGAACGTGTACCGACTATGGGATCTCGAAAAAGTGACATGCAGCAATGGTTGCGCGAAAAAGGAATCCCGTTTGACGATTCATGTGTGAAAGCGGAATTGCATGGAAAAATTAAACAGCACAAACCTGCGAACATTAGTTACGTGACTGATGAGATGGCCCGTCAATGTGGTGTCACTGTGCTGCGGTTACCGCCCTACCACTGTGAACTGAACCCAATAGAGCTCATCTGGGCTCAAGTGAAGGGTTATATTGCGCGCCATAACACAACCTTCAAATTACCAGACGTTAAGGTTTTACTTGAGACTTCCATACAGCTAGTAACGCCCGAAGCTTGGCAGAATGCTATCCGTCATGTTGTGAAGGAAGAAACAAAAATGTGGCAGCTTGACCACCACATCGACACCATCATAGAGCCAGTTATAGTCAATTTCAACGAGGAAAGCGATAGCGACAGTTTATTACTGTCAGATGTAAGTGGAAGCGACGATGAATAAAGGTAATTCCCAAATGTTTGACTTACAATATGTTTCAAACCACTCTTTATTAAGCATGTGACAAATCTAGTTCACCCATGTTAAACATTCATACCCCGCCTATGAACAGCCGACTACTGGTAGTTAAGTGATGTTCACGTGAACATCGATGAGTCATTACAGTTTTAGATAGTTATAGTATACCTGAACACAGTGATCGGGCTCTGAAAGTCCCATAACAAACCCCCAGAGACCGGAGGCGTCACATCTAATTTCCCTAAGCTTATCGACAATTATTGAGCCTGTAAGCCATTAGTGCATCTTTATAAATATGGCTTACGATATTCAAGATCATGCAAATAGAAAAGTATTATGGTTATACGCCCATGCAGCTCAGTAGAACAAAGGAAATGCTCAGTCATTTCTAACATTTCAGGTAACCAAAACACTACAACTGATAGCGACCCTGTAATTAGCTTCACGACGCGCACTACTCGTTCTGAGATGCGACCTTTTTACCCGCCTGCGTGTATATGAAAGTTTGCACTGGTAACAAGCGCCCACAGGAGAAATGAAGACATTAACCAGACTTGTGAACCTGCTGGAAGGATTTTGTGTGCTGCAGGGTTGAACGCGCATGCAAATTGTGTTTGATATACATCATATCGTATTTTCGAAATTTTCTGCGATTGCAAGATTTCCTCGCCCGATAGGGTAGGAAGTAAAAATGGTATGGGTGCAAAGGTTCTTTATACGGCACTCTACTTGCCTCCTATAATTTCCACTAATCCTGCATGAGATAAACGAAATGGAGGATTCGCCGAGTGACGACTGATCGTTAGCAACGAAATTCCAACGTGTAGCTGAGTATGACGTCTCTAGCGATGTAAGCATACTGAATTATTTAACAAGCTGACCTTACCGCGAGGTCTCCACTCAAACTCAGACGCGGCTCTGTAGTGTGGTGCTGTGGTAGCCATCGTTAGCTGCGGGTTGGTTGCTGGTCGTGATCGTACAACCTGTGTGACATCGCCCCCTTTTTTAACCCTAATTTGCTCGAAATGGATATCGTCAGGACATCCGGAATAGGCTATTTCCTGCTGGTGAGTCTGTTTACTCCATAGTTTCGGTATTTTGCGCGCAGCACAGTGTAGTTACGATAGCAAATATTTTTTTAAACGAGCTCCAAAGACACGCACGTTGCTGCAATCTGAAGAATTTTGTTTCATGAAAAGCCCAAATAATACGCTATTTTACACTTCATGAAAAATTGTACTAGAAGTTATTTTGATGCCGTTATTTTATTGGTAATATTTGAAATCCTATCCTTGCTGGTCATTGATACCAGATTTGTCAACTATTTTACAAAAATTTCACATCATCATTTGTCACATTGACGCGTTAAAAATAACATGCATTCGATTCCCAGATTTTTTGTCATTTGTGCAGTGAGTGACAAACTTTAAAGGCAAGCAGAATCGTCAAAAATACTGTTTTTGTTATAATATGCAGAAGACGTTCAAAATTTACGAAATAAATTAATCTTGATATGTTTTTTTAATATTTTCATACTAGTCAAAATCAAATAGTCGGACACTGATCTGACTAATGGACCTCTTTTTCTCTTTAAAAAGGAACTATCAAACTTTTCTCTTGAAATTAAACAAACCAAAATACGACTCAAGCCCCAGCCCCTGGTCGGACAACGAAAGATAACAAATAATGTGATATTGTGTCCGACTACTGAAATCAACGAGTTTTCATAGCATCCCAACAACAGGCCACCTCCATTTCCCCGCCTTTTTTTCAAAATTGCACAAAGTCAGTGACGTACAATTTTTGTCACAAATATCTGTTCAGATCCCGCTTGAGACGCCACTGGACTTGATAAATTTGATCAAGTTAGGGCTTAGTTAGCTCCTTAATGTTATAAATACCACCTACAAACTATAACAACAAAATTAGTTATCGGATATTTAAGATATTTACGAAAAAACATTTTTTCAAATTTTAACACCCTGTATCTTGAGAACGAAGAAATTGCGGACCCATGTTTATATGAACTTTTTGTCTTAAAATTGCTCAAAGAACATGGTAGGTAAGTTGAAAGAAGAATATTTTTGAAAATCATTCTTTCGGAGCAAAAGTATACTAAGTGACATATAAATCCGAACACCCAGTTTAAATGGTTTTATTTTAATAAAATTTTGTATAAGTACTTAATGAAGCATAATAAGTAAATGATAAAAATTTCAAAATGATTGCACTGCTTTAAAGCCCTTTGACCTTATAATGTGTGGATGCACCCTAATGTGCTACGCATTCTCCAACGCGCCTAGGCATGCTTCTGATCAGGTGGTCAATGTCCTCCTGTGGTATCTCATTCCAGGCAACCACCAACTGCTCTCGAAGTGCTTCTAGAGTCTGAGGAGGACGTTGCAAATTGAGCAATCTCCTACCCATCATATCCCACACGTGCTCAATTGGGGATAAGTCGGGAGATCTTGGTGGCCATGGTAGCAATGTGACATCATTATGTTGAAAGAAGTCTATTGTGACTCTTGCAACATGTGGTCGGGCATTATCTCGTTGGAAAGTCGGATCTGCCAGGGTGTCAAGATAGGGTAAAAGATGGGGTTCTAGAACTTCGTGGATATAACGCTGCGCGTTCATGTTACCTCTGATGAAGATTAAAGGTGACCTGGAACCATAAGCTATAGCACCCCAAACCATAACTCCAACAGTGTGATGAACATGTCTTTCAACAAAAAACTGTGGATTCCTCCTTTCACCACGCCGCCTTCTAACCCTGGCACGACCATCGTGCATGCCTAAACAAAATCGAGACTCGTCTTTAAAGACAATACTGTTCCATTCCTGATCCCAGAGTGACCGTTGTCTGCACCACTCAAGGCGATTACGTCGGTGTTCTCGAGTTAAAGGGAGGACCCAGTGTGGCCGGTATGAAAACAAGCCAAAACTTCTGATTCGTCGGTAAACACTTCGCATGCCAATAGGTCTTCTGTGTTCTGCAAACCATTCATTTGCAATGGACCTGGTAGTGGAGAAACGGTCCCTTAAGGCCAATAATCTTAGGCGACGATCTTCACGGTCTGTTGTTCTACGGCGGCGTCCAGTGCCCCTTGCTCTTTGCGTACGGCCTTCTCGAAGCCATGCCTAACAACACCTAACCACAGTGTATACACTTCTTTGCACTCTAACTGCAATTGCCCGAAAAGAAAGTCCAGCTTCCCGAAGTCCCACTATACGGCCCCTATCAAACTCACTAAGTTGACGAAATCGTACAGGTCTCCGTACTCTAGGCATCGTAACCGATCGTAAAGGATGTCAAGAACCAAAATCCGCCAACGTTGATTCTTTACTGCGGCTGAAATATTCATTTTTAGAGCGTTAGTGAATTAAAAAAAAGCAGTATAAAAACCGGAATGTCCAACTGATAAGGCTGAAAATTTTTTCACTTGTTATTTACAGTAAGATAAATACATTCATACATTTAAACTGGGTGTTCGGATTTATATGTCACTTAGTATATCAGCATGAAAGCAACGTATTTTATGATTAACCTTTAATCCTTGAAAAACCATAAAAAAACAGAGTAATCGCATCAACGTCAAAGTACAAAAACTCTGTTAGTATAGTTCAAATCCTTGATTTAATCAATTGCTTATACCTATGCATACATTTTTATTTTAGTTGTTTTCCAGAATCGTCGCATAATTACCATACTCTGATCGCGTGTTTTCGCTTGGAAAAAGTGCTGCTATCACAATGTTGGAAGTACATAGTTATCAGATATCATTACTGCAATTTAACCGGTAGACTGCAATTTGCTACCATGACTCGCTGTTGATGCGCCGCACTTTTGACCTTGTAGAAGGATTATACTGAAACCTGTTTTCATCTTTGATATGAACGATAAACGCAAACACCGAGAAAATCATCTCTGATTGACGAACTAACATAGTTGAACAACATTCAGATTTTTTGAGTAAACTTTGAGATTCAGGCGTATTTATATATTTATATATTTAAATAATTTCCGAAACACGTGGTTTAATTATGTTTTTGATATAAAAGGAGTTGTAAGCAATACAGATTTCATATGATGTTTAGATTAACCCGTTTGATCCGTCAAAACATATAAACATTCATAAACAAAAAAAGCTTCTTTTAATTTTACTTCAGCCGCCTGGTATATTTTTTGGATGTTATGACATGTAGAGGATGTCCCATTTTCGATGGTGCTACAAGGTATCTCGCTTACGAGTAAAGATAGAGAGTTGCTGTTTTCCCAGTACTGTGCTACTTTTTTGTGAAAAGACAGATGGTATAAATATACTAAGTGACATATAAATCCGAACACCCAGTTTAAATGGTTTTATTTTAATAAAAGTTGGTGAATGTATTTATCTTACTGTAAATAACAAGTCTTATCAGTTGGACATTCTGATTTTTATACTGCTTTTTTCAATTCACTAACGCTCTAAAAATGAATATTTCAGCCGCAGTAAAGAATCAACGATGGCGGATTTTGGTTCTTGACATCCTTTACGATCGGTTACGATGCCTAGAGTACGGAGACCTGTACGATTTCGTCAACTTAGCGAGTTTGATAGGGGCCGTATAGTGGGACTTCGGGAAGCTGGACTTTCTTTTCGGGCAATTGCAGTTAGAGTGCAAAGAAGTGTAGACACTGTGGTTAGGTGTTGTCAGGCATGGCTTCGAGAAGGCCGTACGCAAAGAGCACGGGGCACTGGACGCCGCCGTAGAACAACAGACCGTGAAGATCGCCGCCTAAGATTATTGGCCTTAAGGGACCGTTTCTCCACTACCAGGTCCATTGCAAATGAATGGTTTGCAGAACACGGAAGACCTATTGGCATGCGAAGTGTTTACCGACGAATGAGAAGTTTTGGCTTGTTTTCATACCGGCCACACTGGGTCCTCCCTTTAACTCGAGAACACCGACGTAATCGCCTTGAGTGGTGCAGACGACGGTCACTCTGGGATCAGGAATGGAACAGTATTGTCTTGAGTGACGAGTCTCGATTTTGTTTAGGCATGCACGATGGTCGTGCCAGGGTTAGAAGGCGACGTGGTGAAAGGAGGAATCCACAGTTTTTTGTTGAAAGACATGTTCATCACACTGTTGGAGTTATGGTTTGGGATGCTCTAGCTTATGGTTCCAGGTCACCTTTAATCTTCAACAGAGGTAACATGAACGCGCAGCGTTATATCCACGAAGTTCTAGAACCCCATCTTTTACTCTATCTTGACACCCTGGCAGATTCAACTTTCCAACAAGATAATGCCCGACCACATGTTGCAAGAGTCACAATAGACTTCTTTCAACATAATGATGTCACATTGTTACCATGGCCACCAAGATCTCCCGACTTATCCCCAATTGAGCACGTGTGGGATATGAGGGGTAGGAGATTGCTCAAGGGTGCATCCACACATTATTAAAGGTCAAAGGGCTTTAAAGCAGTGCAATCATTTTGAAATTTTCATCATTTACTTATTATGCTTCATTAAGTACTTATACAAAATTTTATTAAAATAAAACCATTTAAACTGGGTGTTCGGATTTATATGCCGCTTAGTATATTTCCTTGTGAACCTGATTCCATCAATAAATTTGTTTTCGAGTAAAAATTAACTATTTTATGATTTTTTTAAAACTGTCAATCCTCTCTGCCGCACCCTGTATAATACTTATCAAGGGTGTCGTATAGGGACACATTTTGTGAAATTATGAATTTTAGATTTATTATTTAAAATACATGTCAAATATGTTTAATTTTTAGCTAAAAATTGACGTCTCATAGAAAAAATCTGCCTACGTCACTGGATTCTTCATGAAAAATTGTGCTAGAGCCAGTTTTCAGATTCGCCATATGTTGAATGATATATAATTTTACAATAATATTTCCAATTTCGCCCTGTGTCTCACAAACGAAGCAGATGCTATGAAAATTTTGTTTACACCATATTTCTTTTCACAAAAAAGTAGCACAGTATTGCGAAAACTGCAACACTTTATTTTCGACGATATGTCGGTATGTCCGCTAAACTTTTAAACGCCTATAACTTGAAAAGTATCGTCCGGATTTCGATGACATTTCTACACATTGTTACTACAATTCCAAGGAGGCAAAAGCTTTGTAGTTTTTGAAAATCGGTAGTAAACATAGCTGAAACTTCGGTTTTAATGTTTCAGAGGATTCTGATCATTTTTGAAAAAAAAACTTGGAGGTGGGGGTTGAAAGAGGATGGGGAGGGTACATTTATACGCTCCCAACACTAGTACACATCATACATTTCTCGGTACATTAGCCCTGAAGGCTTCTACCACGCAACAGCATAGTGTTTTCTATGCTCTGACCGCGCTACCACGGTGCCACGTCCGCCCGAGTGAGGTGTCACGTTTCCACATGCACTAGCGGTAGGGCAGGGAAAGAATGCCTATGGATTGTTTGACTGAGTTTTTTCTGAGAGGGTCTAGCTTGTGCTGAACATATCCCAGATGACGGCGTTCCATAGGAAGTGCAGAGTGAACCTACCTGACGCCATAGATTTCTAAAATCGCCCCATCCGCTATAAAGTGATGTGCAGCATTGATATTGCACTTCATCCTAAACATTTTAAACAATTTGTAACTACTTTCAAGACGCGCAGTGCTAACATCTTGTTTAATCATTCAAGATATCACTTGTTTACACGGCGAATCATAATACTCACTCTGCAATTAAATGCTTTAATTATATGTTTTCCCAAAACCATTTATCATAAAACAAAAGCACAACATTAATTTATGCTAGGTCATTATCAACAAATATAGAAATCCCTAAATCCAAGATGGAAAGAAAATATTCTAGAAAAGCTAGAATACAAGATATACAGACTGTAACAAAAGTTTGTAACGCACCAAATATGACGAATGACTCATCTATTTTTTTTTTTAATCGGTAGGCTTAGGTTAGAAATCACGGCTGATCCGTTGATGATATCCGCGATGTTGCCAAGTGTACAGTTTTTCAGAAACTGATAGCAAGTTTTGCTTTTCTTATGGAATGCTATACATTTTATTCGATATTTGTGAAACTAACTATTTCAAGTTAATTGCATCGATGTAATTTTTACATTTAAACATTTTAGAGCATATGAATTTTGAACTTCTCGTCAATATTTTTATTTTAGCACTTGTTTTTAAAAATGCAAAGTTTGTCCAAGATTCGCAAATTCACGTGTCCCTTGAAAAGTACAAAAAATCGAATAACAATTATGAACATTTAAAAGTAATTTACTTAAGTACATAATATTGTAGTCACGGTAGATAATGAAAATTTAATTATACATATGAATAAACACCGAAAAGGAAAGATTTTGCGAAGTGAGAGGTCAAACTATACTGTAATTTTTTAAAATAAATTGTTAGATTTGTTTTTAATCTCACGGTAATTTAGCGATTTTATGTCTGAAGTACTTACTACTTTTCTGAAGAGTGTCTTTTGCTCAGTCTGTTCTTTATAAAGGACGGATTTGACGTAAGAGCTTATGAGTGTAAGTTAATAGGTGTAACTCATATACGGGAGCGGTCCGATTAGTATTTATTATTACTACTACGTCTGAAAAATACATTTTCTATAACCTCCTCATTCGACTCAAATTCCTGCCCGGTGAGTTACTTTTTCAGTTCGGGAATAAAAAGAAGTCGCACGGGGCCCAATCTGGAGAATACGGTGGATAGGGCAGCAGTTCGTAGGCCAAATTCGTCGACGGTTACGAAACAACACCCGTATAATGATATGATATAAATGAATTATTACATAAACCATTACCGTCCCTATTTTTGACGAGGTATATTTTGTTGCAGGGAGGACTCATCATGGAGGAGGCCAACGCCCAATTGGGCGCCCAACAGATACCGGAGACATCCGACTCTTTATTCGGAACCTTCGACCTGATCCTCATGGCCATATTGGTAGGAGCAGTCAGCTACTTCCTGCTGTACAAGAACAGAAAGACAACGACTATCGCATCTGGACGATCATACTCAATACAGTAAGATATTTATTTATACACCGGCGTACACAAGAAGAAATGCAGTAATTTATTTAACTTGATAGAACATTTATATACACTGCACTATACTCCACTCCGCTCTGCTACTCTACCGTATTCAGTACTCTGCTTCCATCTACCGGCCGCCGAGTTATATACTTCGAAGTTGAGTCATTTATTTTAACAGTGAGTAGATCTGATCAAAAGAAATGTTTTTTCCTTTACCATTTTTCTGGTAAAATTAAAGTAACAAAGTTATAGCCCTTTAGAAGTTTGAGTGCCGCCCTGTCTCAATAATAATATTATGTGCTCGTGTTTGGCGACAACGGTTATAATTCGCCTTATCGGTTCATCGCATCGGAAACAAAAAAGCGAAAGAATTTGGAACGATGTTTTTACAATTATTTCATTCAGTTGTATACGCGGCTTGTGCGGTCGTGGTTCGCGTAAAAGCAGAGATCGGCCATTAAGCTCTGGCGATTAGGAGACTCGTCTAACAGATGGCGCCAACAGAACTATTCGTCACAATAACGTTCCCAAAGGTCTTTGACGCCAGAATATTTACAAAATCATTGTTTCCAGGCCCACGTCAATGACACTACAAAGCACCACAGACAATTCATTCATTAAGAAGCTCCAAACGTCAGGACGAAGTTTGGTGGTCTTTTATGGAAGTCAAACTGGAACAGGCGAAGAGTTTGCCGGTCGCTTAGCTAAGGAAGGCGCCAAGTACAGACTAAAGGGTATGGTGGCCGACCCAGAAGAATGTGATATGGTAAGACCACCATTCTGACATATTTTTTTCTGAATAAATGGCTGTTTTGTAGGAGCGTTCATTTATTTTACTTCCTCCACTGAGAGGAAACGAGATTTTATGTTTTATCGGTGTTGTATGTCATGTAATCGTATCTTTAAAACAGAATGATAATAAAGAAAGGTTTTCTATATTTGGGAAGGGTCAACGTTGCCAGATGCACAGTAACTACCGGTAGGACAGGAAGAAGAATGTCTATGGACTAATTGTTTAGGCCTGTTTGACTGATTTTATTCGTTTAATATCTGTATTGTACATGTTCGCAACCGATTTTATTCTCAAGGGGTTTAACGTGTTCGGAACTTGAGGACTCCTCGAACCCAGCGTTCGCACTGCTTACGATTCGCAGCTTATTGTTTTCACTGCGGTAAATAAACACGTTCAAACTAGCGCGGTTTTCTTCGTTGTGACTGAAATTTATCTGCATATTTATCCACACGGAAATTTCGTTCGAAATCAGATGCGTTTTTTGTCGCATTTGCAGTAATTTCGCAACATTATACAGCGAAAGATATTCGACCTGAAGCATATTATCGAATTAGGACGAAAGTACCCTTAATCAGGGCGACCGGTAGCTCGCAAAGTCAATTCTGGTGGCTCACAACGTATTTTAAAAAGGTGTAAAAATCATACAAGCTTCCGTAAATTGTGTAAATTCTCATAATAAACACAAGCAGCGGCAACACTGCGGCGAGCGATCTGTTCGAGAACGATCTCGATGTCGTTGACACCTCTCAGATGACCGTGTTCGTCAGGATGGTTTTTAGTGATTTTACGATTAAAGAAGATCTTTTGAAGTTTATTCCACTAAAAAGACTACTGGGCAGGACTTGTTTTCTTCTTTTAAAAATATTTCTTCTGAGAAAATTCCAATATCGAAAATGGTAGGGTCTCATGGGGTTACGTCGTTAAGATGAAAGTTTTCTCTGTTATCACTGCATTATCCATCAGCATGCATTATGTGGACATTTTCTAAAACTAAACAACTTTATGAAGTTGGTAGTAAGAATTGTGAACAACATACAAGATTAGAGCTCAAGCATTGCAAAGAAGATTATTCAAAGCCTTGGCCAATGAACTTGACTGTTAATACGGGAAACTACTTCTTCACTCTGAAGTCCGATGGTTGAGTAAGGGACGAGTGCTGAAACGTTTTAATGATATCATATCTGCCATAGTTCAATTTTTCAAACAACGTCTTTAACCGATTCCGGAACTAAAAAATTCAATCTGGCTTAGAGATTTTGGATTTCATGGATTTCCTAAAATCTAGATTGTTCATATTCAGTGGGTTGGTTCCATTCTGCAAAAAGCCTCCATTTGTATTTTCGGACCTCCAGAAAAGGCGGGCCAATGAAGTTGCAGCAACGCCAGGCCAAGTTTATCGACCTAAAAGGAGATTATGTTGAGAAAAAACTCGCCACTTTTCAAAAAATTTCGTTTTTCTTCTGTAGGCTAAGTACCCATTGAACTGCCCTCGTATGTTACGATTTTCCTCAAGAACTTCCATTTTACTTTGTTTGTAAGTAAAAGGCCTCAACAAATACGGTTTTAGAGCAAAAGCCTTGTCTCCAATGATGACACGAGTGGAAGGTTCATTTCGTCCTGGGAGATGTTTCGGTCCAGGTGCATTCATTGCATTTGCTTCATGATGAAAACTTCAAAAATTCCTCCATCATTATTTTGTTGCTCTTACATTAATGTGATGGCTAGTCGCTCTTCAGATGAGATAGCTTCTCAATAATTAGTGTCTCATTTTTGAATCAGGGTTTTATATACGAGGGTGGTCCCACAAGTACCCGACCCAACGAAGAAAACACAAAAAATTTGTAAAAAAATGCATTTATTTTTCAACATAATCTTCTTTGAGCTCTATACACTTTTCCCAGCGATGTTCAATATGTTCGATACTCTTTTTATAATAAGAACTGTCTTGCTCCTCAAAATAGCCATTAACTGCCGACATCACTTCTTCATCGTTGGAAAATCTTTGACCACTGAGCCATTTTTTCAAGTTTGGAAACAGAAAATAATCCGAGAGGGCTAAATCTGGTGAATAGGGTGCATGAGGTAGCAATTCAAACTTTAATTCGTTAATTTTGGCCGTTGCAATGACGGATTTGTGAGCTGGTGCATTGTCTTGAGGAAACAACACTTTCTTCTTAACGAAGGAGCAGACTCACCCAGAGTAGAATCCAGTTCAGCTTTTATATTGGTTGGGCTGAGGCCTTTGAGATAAAAGTATTGTACCACATAACGATGACCAATTTTCTCCATTTTCACAAATTCACTGAAAACGTTCAGTATTGATGGCTGCCAAACAAATACTACACAACGTGGCGTCTTCAAACTTGACACATATGCTTTATAGGCTGCATACTTTCTAATACAATGGTATTATTCAAACAACTATCGCCATCTCTAGGTCAGGCCGGGTACTTCTGGGACCACCCTCGTAAAGTGCAAGCATTCACCAAAACAAGCAATTGTCATTTTATAATACATATAGAATCGTTTCTCGTGTTTTCGTAATTGTGGCATCAATGTGTGTCATTCACCATATTCGCGACTTCCTTGATTAATTTTCTGGACCCATTTTATTTTTTTTTCTAAGGTAAGATAGGAGCTACGATAAACACGTTAATTTTTGGATAATAATACAAATTATTTTCCCCACATTATCTTCTCCCACTGCAAGTAACAATAATGCTTCTTCTCAATTTTTTAGGATAACATTTTTTTTCTTTTTTAACTCTAGTATTCAATCTTTTCGATACTGAAAATACCATGAAATTCGCTGCGATTTTTTCGCCTTAGATCCTTTATGAACCGACGACTACGTTGAATATTAGGTGCAGAGTGAACCTACTTGAAGCGATTTTTTTTAACCGTCGTCGGTGAACCGAATCGCTTTTTAAATATTCTAGATTGTGGATTTATCTCTGTATTATCTCCAGTCGAGTTGTTATATTCCTAGAACTTTAGACCCGGCAATGTGGAATATAAACAAAACACGTTTTTCTTACGAATGGATGCTATGTAAATGTGTATCATGTATTTCTGTAGACACACCACATTTGTATTCAAAGTCATCCCTACGTGACCATCCAGCAAAACAATAAGCGCCTGCTTTAGTAGGGAATACATGATCCGTTATCTGATAAATATCGATTACATGGATTTTAAATTGAATGCGATATATCACATACTCTCTGATCATTGTTTTTGATTTAAAAATTCAACTTAAATGGGAAGTGATTAGGTAGGCACTACCATTGTATATATGAGTACGACATATTACTTAAGTTAGTATCTATACGGGGTGTTTCAAATTCGACCTTCACCATTGGGATTTCGGAAATTGTAAAAGATACGAAGTTTGTTAAATGGGGACAAAGCTGCGTATTTAGGTAACTAACAAAATTCCACTTGGAAAGTTTCGAAATAAGTTCCAAAAACCGTTTTAATTTCTTCCTGACTTTATTTGTAGTGGGATTCCAAAGTAAATTGCGTACTAGCATTGCTACTTTTTCTCCTCTACAGGATGATATAATTCTTCCTCTAGGGAAAGTAAACAATCCCATAACTCTTGATCATTTACGACCCGTCAGCATACTGTGTTTCTTTTCAAAGATATTAGAAAAAGCTGTTTATCTTCAACTAATTCAATATTTAGAGATGAACAATTTACTTCCTGTCCATCAGTCTGGATTTCGTGCTGGACATAGTACAACTTCTTCACTTCTCCATTTGACAGACAATATCTTAAATAATATGGATAAACATATTAATACAGTTTTAGTTATGGTCGACTTTTCTAAGGCGTTCGACACTGTTAACCATAAAATGTTGTTGGGTAAGTTAAACTACAGTATATTCAGATAAGAGATAGACCGGATGTAAACAAAAGGTTCGGGTGATTTTCACGCTAACGCCGCCGTCTCGACGTAAAACAGGAGCCCTCATTGGTCAATTCGCAATTAAATGCCTATGCCGAGCGGCAGAGCAGTCGTATCAAGGCAGAGTCACATTCAGGTTCAGACGTGTTACGTATGTCGTGTGCATCATTGCAATTTGATATTTCTTTGGACGTTTTCGTTTGTTATCTTATTAAGTTGTTGAGTTTGTCGTTGTTATTGTTATACCTTGTTATTGATTGTTATTGTTATCAACTGCTTGCGCAAAATGCCCAGTAGTACAGATACTGCCGATGAAGTTGTAAACTCCTGTAGTCCACCTAGGAAACGCTCTAAAAAAAGACACCTGAGTGCAGAAATGAAAGAGGTCATTTTAAATATATATAAGATCGAGCGCGAGGAGAACGAGGCATCAACCATCAAAGAAATTGTTGTGAAGGTTTCTCACAAAGTTGAGGTGTGTCGCGCATCAGTGTTTAATGTGTTAAGACAATACAAAAAAAATCACACCTTTTCTGAGCCAATGACCAGTAAACATCGCAAAAGTATTGTTAAATCATTGGATGAAGCTGATAAGCATGCGATTAGGAGGAAAGTGCATGAATTCTTCTTTAGGAATGAAATACCTACTATAGATAAAGTACTGCAGGAGGTAAATGGAGATACAACGTTGCCAAATTTCAAACGATCAACTCTCCATGCGTTACTGAAGCATTTAAATTTCAAATGGAAAAAACGGGGTCGTAATAGTTTACTACTGGATAGAGAAGAAATTGTGCTATGGAGGAGGGATTATTTAACAAAAATTGGGAAATATAGAAATCAAAACAGGAAGATTTATTACCTTGATGGAACGTGGGTAAACGCAGGACACACTACAAGTAAAGTATGGGTTGATGATTCTGTAACTTCATCCAGGAGGGCCTTTCTAGATGGACTGTCCACCGGATTAAAAAATCCAGCAGGTAAATACGAGTAATAGACAACAATCGGATGTTTTTCAAACCTTGGGAACAAGGTTCTAAACATTAATTCCAGGGGGCAGATAAAACACATTACAAGTAACAAAACTTTTATAACTTTCGATAAAATGCGTGGATGTTTTATTGTCATTTTCATTTGTTAGAACTTTTTTAAGCCATGTTTTTATGTGTTTTCGATATTTCAATAATTTTTTAATATAATCTTAAAATATATCGAATATTATAAACTTAAAAAAAGTTACTAAGTTTTATATTGTGTACCGTTCCTAATATTTCTAATCATTTTAATTCATACTTTAAGCTTTATAAAGTTATAATTTGTTAATATTAATATTTGCGCGTATTTCAGGTTCCTGATCATTAATTTTTTAAAGGTTTATAACTTTAAATTAAATTGTGAAGCGCTGAGTAATCATACGACGTTCAATATTCTTTCTTTCAATATGACTAAATAATCCCAATTATAGCAATCTGATACTCATGTCTCAATGTTTTTTCGCTGAATGTGATGAAAACATTTGAAAAAGGTTCGCTTATTGAAATAAATCTACACCAGTTAGTACTTCGATTTCCAGGTAAAGGGAAAAGGCTCATTATCTGCCATATTGGCAGTGAGGATGGATTTGTTGTTGACGGTCTGTGGTGCTTTGAGTCTAAGAAAACTGGAGATTACCACGAGGAAATGAATGGCGAATCGTTTGAACAGTGGTTTTCAAAAATTTTACCGAACTTAGAGGAAAACGCAGTAATTGTGTTGGATAATGCGCCTTATCATTCTCGGAGAATGGAGAAGGTCCCAACAACGGCTTCAAGGAAAGTTGATGTTCAAAATTGGCTCCGCTCGAAAAATATCAACTTTGAAGAAGCAATGCTGAAAGTACAATTATTAAGAATTGTCAAGGATCACAAGGCGGAATATCAAAAATACACCATTGACGAAATGGCAGCAAGTCAAAATAAAACTGTGCTCCGTTTACCTCCATACCATTGCGAGCTCAATCTCATTGAGCTCATATGGGCAGAGGTTAAAAATTATTTAGCTAAGCACAATACAACTTTTAAATTTTGTGACCTCAAAGGACTTTTCAAAGAAGCACTAGAATTAATAACAGCGCAAAAATGGGAAAACTGTATTAAGCACGTGAAAGACAAAGTTGAAAAGAGAATGTGGGAACTGGACAATATTTTAGAGGAACAAGTCGAGCCATTCATTATTGACGTTGGTGCTTCAGGCAGTAGCGATGATGAAAGCTCATCAAGCTCATCTTTCCAATAAAAGATGTCGTTCATCAAATTCGGTAAGTTATGAGTTATGAGTAATTATAAAGCTACTGTATTTTTTAATTAATTATTGACATTTTTGAACCCATTTTGGCAAAACCTATTCAAGAATCTACTTTCTGACAATGTTCAACCATGCACATTTTTTTACGTTTTGAACGTTTTAATTTGGTTACATATTTACCTAGAAATCAAAAAATATACTAATCAATATTCTAAAAGCAATTTTAAGAGATATACGATTATTTTTAATTTAGGCTAATTTAAACGCCATTTTGAGATTATATTCGACTGTATTTCACCAAACATCAGGCGGCATCCGAAGCTGGAAATCGAAGCGAAAATTTTGAAACCCTTATGTTTATTTACATCATTATATATTTCTTACCCCATCCCCACATGATCCTATATCCATCACCAATCGTATACACATCGAATTGTGCTAATTTACTACAAAGTTACGCAAAGCAGCATCTACTATCTAAAATATGTACTGCGTGACTCTTAATACGTCCCAGCCGAATGTTACAGCGTTCGATGATCACGTGGTCTTGTTTATGTCCGGTCTATCTCTTATCTGAATATACTGTATATACATATTTGTGTAAGAGTAGCCAACTGGCTAAACTTCGCCTTATTGCCGTGTTGCTAATAAAGACATTTATTATTATAATTATAATTTCAATATGACGTTATGTCTCATGTCCTCCAGCATCAACTTTTTTTCTTATGTTCGCCATATTGGAAACGCCTGATTTGTCTCCCCCATATCTTTAAAATGAAACGAGATCTATTTTCATAATCAATCTTTTATTCAAAGAAGTTATGTATCAGATGTCAAATAAACGGCCGCAAGTCTCACAAACCTGAGCCCTATTGATTACGTTTTCCCTGGTAGCAGGTTTTACATTGACTCAGTAAACAAAAATATATTTTCAAGAACTGTATACTCTGTAGGTTGTGTAATTCTTACATAATTTTTTTATATACAACGTACTTTATGATTTGATGAAAATCTTATTCTCCCGAAGCAGTTGATTGTTATTTTAAGCTTTCGAAAAAGTACCTCGAAATCTTAAAATGAATCATCTTTTACTTTGATGCAAATACTGTTTTATCACTTGATACACCCGGTATATGAAAACTGATCTAAGACGAAGATTAATATATTCACCATCAAAATGATGTTTACTAATATCATTAAGGCTTGATTTCAGCTGGTTATAAAGGTCGAAGTCAGGATTTTTTATATATGGCAAAATACACATTATCAACGGCATTTATCAGTTACACACAGCTAGTTTAATATAAATACCAATCAGTAATAGCAAATAGTATAAAAATACTTAACAGTTTCTCATATGTTCATTGTACATGTACCTAATATCTACATATTATTTAAGAACGTAAAATAGTTATGACAATACAAATACGAAAAACAAAAACTATTCCCTGAGGTTTAAACAATAGCAATTATGAAATTTTTGAAAGCGAGCTGTTTTAAATCCCACCTAATACTTACGAATTATTAAAGTTACAATAATAACGTAAGGATGTTGCAAACAATACTTGATAATTTCAGACAAATAGCAATTATAAAAATGTTTCTCTCCGAAGCAGCCTGCTTTTATTCTGGATCTCTTCAGAATGTGACCATTTCTCTCAAAGATATTGTTAAATGTTGAACCAAAAGTTTTTTCGAATTTAATGACTACGAAAAATCGAACTTTGTTGTGCTATGTTTTATGTCCTGAAAGTAGATACGTCTGCTTTTCGATACGATCCCAGTGAACATAGTGACGTCAGCATTTTTAGGGCACTACTACAGTACACCGACGAACGAAAGTGACGTAGAAATTACGTCAATATGGCGGTCTAATGTCACACCCAATTGACGTCATATAAAACATCAACTACAAAGCCGATACGACGTATGTATGACGTTTCTATCTGAGGTCGATATGACGTCTATGTGACGTCGATATGACGTACAGTCGCTCGCAGAAATGAACGCGCGGTGTATCCAAATGCTCCTGAAAAATTGAAAATGTAACAGCGACGCCTCACAAGCAGTGAGTTCAGGTAGAAAGGCGCGAAAACTCACATTCAACTTGCCGACCACTCTATGTACTAAATTCCTATTTAAAATACGGACGAGATATTTCCTTATCTTTCTTCAAGAAATAACTTTTTTGCCACAAAAAAACGCTCCAATAGCTATTTTCAACAACAAAATGATAAACAAACCATGAGCGTAGTGAAGAAAAGCATTTACTTATTAAGTAAATTCTTTTAGTCAAATTTCTTCTGGAAGTAGTACAAACTAATCTGATGTACCTATTAAAGTCTACTTTAAGCTTTAAATAAATAAATCTTCAAAACTACTAAACTGAAGCTCATGTATTTTACATCATTATAAAGGGAATTGAAAGACCTTTAAAATAAGGTATCACTCGACCCACCTTCCATTTAAGATTTGTGTCCCCCTCGAAAACAAAATCGACTGAAAAAAAACTGAGTTGCCAGTAAATGCGTCTGTTTCGTTTTCGATGCGCCACCCTGTATTCACCATAAAATTAACCATTTTTCTGCAAGAAAATTGTTCGTACACGAACGTAGATATGAAAATATCGTAAATACAGCTTGTGTATCTTATTTATCAAGCCTCAAAATTGCCTTAACAATTTTTTTCTAAAAAAAAACAAGCATTCTGATGATATGCTATTTTGCTTTTTACAGGAAGAATTAGTGAACCTAAAAAGCATCCCGAACTCGCTAGCAGTATTCGCAATGGCAACTTATGGAGAGGGCGACCCTACAGACAACGCTATGGAGTTTTACGAGTGGCTCAAGAATGGAGATGCCGATCTAACTGGTCTCAACTATGCTGTAAGCATTGTTTTCATTTTTATACAGGGTGTCCTGTGCATGGGATATCTCAATACCTGTGAGAGATCAGCTCAGGTTTGATTATGAAAAAGCTGCGTTCTTTGGGGCATATTTACATGCCGTTGAGAAAATTGTAAAAATTTAATGGTAAAAACTAAAATTTTTTAATATATATATTAAAAAACTAATGGAACTTTTTCATTGGAACTGTTTAGGCACTACATGATGGTGTTTTTGAATTTTGTACCAGACGTTTTCTTTCTGACAAAACATCCTCAACTTTATTTTTTTATATGGTAAGAAAAAAGTACACCCTCTATCTTTTTCTACGAGTTCTACGATTGATCTGATGAATTTTCGCTCCACCGATAGTCCATGAAATGTACGCTTCCGTTTCTGGTTAATCGCTGGAACAAATTGGTGGTCAAACAAGCGCCAAACACGCCGATTTTCTAAGGTCACGTATTCATAAATGAAAATTATTCCACATGTATTTTAATGAAGGAAAGGTTTACATATTGTGTCCGAAAACGTATATACGCAATCTCTCTGGATTTACATATTATGTACATCCGTGGACATTTGTCAGCACCTCAGAATTTGCGTAAATAGGAAAGGCGTTTTATTGAAGCGATGTGAAAAATCACTTAACTGTACATTCGAATCCTGAACTTGAAATAAAACGCGCAACATCCAACGATTTCCCTCAGGAACTGTCTATCTGATAAACATTTCTTCATCCCCTTAAGTGAGAAACGACTTGGAAAGTAGTGAACAACAAAAGAAACGTTTCACTACGTCCAAAACGTCAGAAAGTTGAAAAACTTGCGGCGGTGTTGTTACTCTAAATCATATCGCTTTCTTTTCATCAAAATCAGTTGATGTGGTTGAGGCCACGCTGTTAAAAAAACGCTAACAGCGGGATCGTCGAAAACATGTGATGATTGTTCATGCGTTGGAAGTGAAAGTTCAGGGAATCAAGAACATTTTGGAGTCCCCTAAACATTTCAGATTTTAAAAGATCGAAACTACAAGGGATGTCTTTTAAGTTTTGCATATGGAAATAAAACAATACGGTAGGTAGTTTTAAGTGACTTTATTGTTTTTCGAAGTATTCTCCACGAAGATTAATACCCATCTGCATGCGCTCGAACCAATTTTCGAAGCACTTACTCCACTCTTTTGCTGGCAGATCCAAAACGGCATTTTTGAATGCGTCAACTGCTTCTTCTGGTGACTGGAATCTTTGACCACCCAGTCTGTTTTTAATTTTCAGGAAAGTAAAGAAAACTTTAGGACTTAGATCGGGACTATATGAAGGATGGTCCAATAATTCTACGTTTTCTTCCGTTAAATACTGCCTTGTTTTTTGGGCTGTGTGCGAGCTTGCATTGTCTTGGTAGAGGATGATTCTTTTTTCGGGGTTGATTTTTCGAAGCTCGGTGATGACTTTCGGCAAACAAATGGTGGTATACCAATCCGCAGTAACAGTTCTTTGCTCATTAAGAGGAATTGTTGCAAAAAATTGTTTTTCTTTCCATACATTTATTTGGGAAAATTAATTCCAGTATTTTGTACTAGCTATTGAACTTAAAAATAGTAACTTTGACAGCCTGCTAGTGGCTCCTGCTTTTGAAAAAATACGTTCGGAAGAAACGCTTGTTGCCACAATTGGTTTCATATCCAACGTCACATTCTTCTGCATGTTTGTATTTAATATGTGATGCTAGATTGATTGTATTTCCAGACGTTTTAACTCGTTTATTACAAATAGTGCAAACGGCAGTACCGTCTTCTTTTTTGAAATAGGACCATAATCTACTTCTCTCCATATTTTGAAATTAAAATTGAGTATTAATTTATTAGCATTCAACAGTTACAACACGTGTACATGTCACATGTCATATCACAAAACATATACACTTGTCACTTGTCATATCGACATACCTCATTTTCTAGAGAGTCAGTGTTGTCACGTTGCCAGTTTTACCCGTTTTTGTGGGTATTTTAATTTTTCGATATTTTGATACGACATATTGAATTTTTCGATATCGATATCGGCGTATCGTCGATATCGATAAGTATCGATATTTTTAGTTGTCGATATATCGATATTTATCGGTTTTCCGATATATCGTTGCATCCCTATTTTTGGTGCACCCACCCTGGAATCGTCGCTAAGACTCACCCGTCCGCGTTTAAATTCTCCATACCAACGGGAAATTGTCGACTGATGTGGCGCTTCGTTGTCGAAAACGGACAGTAACTCAGCAAGGCATTCTTGTTGCGATAATTGTCTCTGAAAGTTGTAATAAATTATGGCGCGTAAATGTTCTCGGTTGAGTTCCATTTTTCTAATGACCTGGTGACACTTAAAAATTCACTGTAGTTAGAACACTGCACGTATTGTTGTGAAACTTTGAATTTAAGTTTACTAAAGAGTGTGGTTAAGATTCAGTACTGACGTTCGATCCGCGCAGCCTACTATGTTTCTATATGCGAAACTTAAAAGACATCCCTCGTAATTATATTGCTTTCGCAGGTATTCGCTTTGGGAAACAAAACTTATGAACACTACAACGAAGTGGGAATCTACGTGGACAAACGATTAGAAGAACTGGGAGCAACAAGGGTGTACGAATTGGGCTTAGGTGATGATGACGGAAAGTGAGTTTTGGTTTTATGCAAATAAATCGTATCATTATTCAAATGATGAAAGTTAATAGCATCCATCGATTTACACAGCGAGTAAAAAAAACCAGGAAACCGATTTCGCTTACAATGCGTCCGTTCATAAAATTATTTTTATAGATAGTCCACGCAGTATCTTTGCTTGTGATGCAAAACAATATTCTGATTCCGATTTTTTTGGTATATTCAAAAAGGGTGTTGCTACAATCAAATTTGCGTCAAAAGTTTTTTAAACATTCTAAGATACTGTGGGATTTTGTTAACGGATGCCCGAAGAATGTTTAGGAACATTGGCAACATTGAAATTTCCAGTGTTTCTATTTTGTTTTTTGGGGACGAAATTGGCATATTTCGCACTATTACAAATATTGTATCACATATATCTCGAAACTATTATTTTGAACGAGGTGTTCTAAAGCATTTTTTTCTGCTCAGAATATCACAAAAAACGTAAAAGCATTTCACTGGTACTAAAAAAGCAATTTTTGGAATCGTTTGTTTATTTAAGTTTTATTCAGCATGATTGCTACAATTTCATTCTTTTAAAAAACTACAACAATTACATAACATACAGATATTTATAAAAACAAAATTTGCAACTCTAAGAATTTCCACTGTCTATGAAATATTCCTTTAACTTCCTTTTAACATCTTTTAGTTACAAGTAGACTCGTGTATTAAATTCAAGTACATCCTTTCTGAAATGTTGATTTGCTAGTCATATTACTATTGCAATTTTGGAAATCAAACTCTATTTCCTCTTGTATAATAATTGTGGTAACTATTTAATTCTATGCAGTATTCTAAATGTTGCGGCAAAAGATGATTTTTTATTTTAAATATAAAAATAGGAACTAAGTATATGAAATTTTTTATATTCAACCACTGCAAGTCTTGTAACATAGATTTTATTTTAGTGTACGTATTTTTATTCAATATTATTCTCATAGCTTTATTTTGCAGGACTTTTGAGAATGCAGCTTCATTGGCATTGAACAAGATAGTTGAAAAAAAAATGCAATAGAATAAGTGTATTATAAACTTTTTTTTGGAACTTGTACTAAGACTATGAGAAGCCCTATAAAAGTATTTTTTTGCAATTTTTAAAATAAAGTATTCATAGTGATCCTCAAACTTTAGTTTACTATCAATATCTATACCTAAACATTTAACTGATTCAACATTTTCAATTATTTCATCACCTATCCTAACTGTGATAGAATGTTCATTTAAGTATTTCCCTATTAGCATACATTTTGTTTTAGAGGCAGTCAATTTTAGATTATTTACATTTAAGCAATTTTTGCCAAGTCATAATTCATCATTTTCAAAGCAGGGTCTATATTTTCATCTTATATGAAATATTATCTGTAAATATCTGAATTTTAAAATGATCTGAAATATTTTAAATATCATTAATGAATAACAAAAATAGTATTGGACCCAGTCTGCTACCTTGCGGTACACCAAGAGAAATATTTTTTGAGCTGGATAATGTAGATCCAATTTTGACTTTTATCAATTTGAATACACATCCAAAGCGATGCAATTTTGTAAGTAATTTTCTTCAAAAAGTATCTATTTCATGTATAAACTGATCATACGTCAACATTTCACTTTACTGAAATAATGTAGGAAGAAAAGATAAGCGACCGCACTGTATGCATTTTTTTATTTCAGTATTGAAGACGACTTCATTACGTGGAAAGATAAGTTGTGGCCAGCGGTATGTGAGTTCTTCCATATTGAGTCGACTGGCGAGGACGTCAGCATGAGGCAGTACAGAACGGAGGAGTATGATGAACCACTGGAAAGAATATTCACAGGTGAAATGGCCAGGCTGCACTCGCTGAAAAACCAGAGGCCGTAAGTGAATTTAATTTTCCTTACATTAGAATCCATCATTAGTTGTCCTTGACTTCGATACCATAAACCGTCGTTTTCTAGTAGCCAAGTGCAAATATTTTAGTTTTTCTGATTCTTTCTCCAATATGATTATGATCTTCTCAGGAAATCGTTATCAAAGAATACACATTGGCATGGTTTTGTCTCCAAAGTGCCTCATTTCTCCGGAGTGCCCCAAGGCTCCGTACTTGGGCCACTCCTTTTCATTATGTACATAATTGACAAAAGTATATAGACAAATTAATATTGCGCTGTTTTATTTTTTTTATTTTTTGTTTTATTAATACACCAACCTGTATACATAATTCTTTATAGCGTAATACTAACTTATACATAAATAAATTCATTAGACTCCCTTCCCTTCGATAAAAAATTAATTGAAAAAACTGGAACTATGAAGGACAAAAATATATAGACAAAGCAAAAAAAGTATTCATTGAATTATATAAAACCAACCATGTTTGTGTTAATATTTTGAAGCATAACCATTATTATCAATCACCGCCTGGCATCGTCTCGGCATAGATTGTAGAAGTTTCTTGATATAAGATTCATCAATCTGTCTCCACTTTTGCTCTAAACCGGCAAAAAGTTCATCCTTGTTTGAGAATAATTTTTATCTCGTATTTGCTTATATAAGTATTCCCATAGATTTTCAATGGGGTTTATATCGGGAGACTGTGAAAGAATTTCTTTGCTATGCTTCGGGTCATTATCTTGCTGGAAGATTGATCTTAAGGGCATATTGCCTTCCATATGGGGTAACATGACATGCTTTAGTATGTCTGTGTATACAAACTTATCCATAATGCCATCTATTCTATGTAAAGGTCCCATCTCAAACCCCGAAAAGCACCCCCAAAAAATAACAGACCCGCCTCCATGTTTGACAGTGGGCAAAGTGTACTTGGGATTCAATCTTTGTCCACTAGGACGTCTTACGTGATGAAGACCATCTGATCCAAACATATTGAACTTGGATTCGTCACTGAAACATACCCTCTTCCAGTCACATATGCTCCAATCAAGATGCAACCGTGCAAATTGTAATCGTTCCTTACGGTTTTTCCTCGGGCAACGTGCAAATAACGTCAAATCCTTTAATATTCTACCTATAGTGTTCGTAAAAACACTGACAATTCCTTTTGTCTCGATTTCGGCTTTTAAGTATCTTGGGGTTTTAAACAGATCTTTGGACGGAATTACTTTTATTAATCTAACTGATCTAGCATTTAGTTTTCGAGGCCGACCACTTCTCATAGGGGCTTCCAAGATACCTTTTTGTTTATATTTGTTCAATATTCTCCAATCTGCTTTACGCTTCAGCTTCAAATTTTTAGCAATATCGATTTCACGTTGACCATCTTTGTATAACTCAATGATCTTAGTTTTCACATCGAAAGAAATTTCTGGACCACGCGGCATGGTCTCAAAATCACTCAACTTATTCCACAATACTTGATGAACACAAACTAATCCTCTTCTGACACGAAACTGTACTAAACTAATGTTGAAAAGAATTTGTCTACATATTTTTGTCCCTCATAAAAAAGTGCGGATATTCAGACTTGTATTGTGTTCTTTGCAGATAAACTTATTTTTTCTACTAATAACGCATTTGTTTATGGAGCAATTAAGTATGCAATCGTTTTCTAAAGGTGTTTAGGTAAATATTCATATTTGTCTAGATACTTTTGTCCAATACTGTATATTTCTGATTTGCATGCAACTGTTAAATATTGCTATATTCTTTTTTTTATTAGAATATATTAACATTGGAATTCAAAATAAAAAGCACATTAATATTGCCACTTTTTCTTCTCTACATGATGGCATATTTAGAATTTCAATATAACGTTTCGTTTCTTGACCTCAATCATCAACTTTATGTTTTCTTATAGACGTAATATTGCATTTTCACACAGTTAAATAGAGTTTTCAATTCTGATTCCAAAAAATTATAATTTGTGATACATTAGCGTAGCCAAACCTTAGAAAACAGAATTTCCTAAATAGGCCGTGCAATTATCAGATCGTCATTTATTTAATAATTGAGGTTGTACACTGATGGTGAGTCTCGGTATGAAATTATTGTGCGCTAAAGCTGCTGAATCATTTTTGACAGACGAGGTTTTAAAAAAACTGATTTTCCACTACATTTACTTTTTGTTTGTTTAAGGCCGTTCGATGCCAAGAACCCCTACCTAGCTCCCATCCAAGTGAACAGAGAACTTCACAAAGATGGAGACCGCTCGTGCATGCACATCGAGCTTAACATCGAAGGATCCAAGATTCGGTACGATTCCGGTGACCACGTCGCCATTTATCCCGTCAACGACCGAGAGCTAGTCGAAAAATTGGGCACGCTGTGCGACAAGGACCTCAACACCATTTTCAGTTTGATCAACACAGATGAGGAATCTAGCAAGAAACATCCGTTCCCTTGTCCGTGCTCGTACAGGTAGGAACTTTCTTTCTCAGAAAAAACTGTGCTTGAAGTAAGGAAGCTAACGTGTGGTGAAACAGTAGCGGCAAAGTAAAAAACATAATCAACTTTCATTTGCAGAGAAATTTCAAGTACAGCTCTATCACTTATAGGTACTGTTCGAAGCTTTGGTCAATGGTAAAATCTTTCGTAGAAACTCTAGATCCAATGACCATGCCAGGTTAAACTTTCAAAGAAAATGTTGGTGCAAGAACCACTCATTTTGCAGGAAAATCCTCAGCTTGTACAAAAGGGTACAACCCATCTTCAACTAGGGTTCGCCACACTTCAGTCTTGAAGTCTTGCACTAATGCTTGTTGAAAGTTTTTCTTCGAAATGGTTCAATATTTTGAACCATCATTCGGGGTGTATTCTTGTTTTCCACTGTGTAAACATCGACATTCCTGAAAGCGATCTGTTATCACTAGCTCTATTCACAAGGTAAACCAATTTACACGGCACTGAATGATAACAACTGGAAAAGCGATCTGCATTTACTCGTGAAGCCTCGGTAGCATTTTTGAAGACACTCACCATAAATTAAAATCATATCAAGTGGAATAATAACTTTAATTTACAATTGATCGGGTATTTCAATATGGTCTCCGTCAAAGTACTCCTCCTGAGACAAGATGCACTTCTGCCAACGCCGTTTCCACTGTTGTTGCGATCGCTCAATGTCTTCAATTATGAGGCTCTTCATTTGACGTATCGTTTCTTCCTTGGCTTCCAATGCTTCTGTCAGAATTTTGTGGATGATTCGGGAGAGCTCCATGCCAGGGTTACTTTCAACAAGCACTCGTAAATCCTACTTACACGCAGAGCGCTCCGGCTCGAAATGAACATAGAGGGCATTGCATAGAGAGAGGGAACCACCGGGCCACCCCTCCACAACGCCCTCTATGCTACTAAAAAACGGTTATTTTTTCAAGATCCATACGCCCAGCAATGCGGATACCCTGTATAATTGAATCGATCATTTCAAAGCGACCTTTTCGTCCATTTTACAAAATATTGATTACGTTCTGAGCAAGTTTGCTAATTTTTTGACGAACTATTGCTTCGTCGTCGTGAACTAGAGGTATCGCCCAGAAAAGTACGAACCTTGGAACAGTGTTATCGTCTATATTTTTTTCTTGCTTTTTGCGATATGTATGACAAAAATTGTGTAAGGGTTTTGAATTTCGTAGCCTCAAAACATTTGAAGCCTGTTTTTGAAGCTTGAGTAGTCATCTCGTATCGCATGGAGAGATAAACAGTGCTATTCAAAAAGACTTATTTTTCGAACACATTAAGTCGACAAGCTGAAAGTCCTAGTACCTAATGAAATTGATACATGAATACTACAGGGTGCGTCATCTATTACTTATTTTTTCTATTTGAAAAATCAACACGCTTTTTACGAGGTGAAATCTAATGTTTCTATTGATAAATGAAGGTTGGTTTATGCCTTTTATGTATGAAAAATAGCATCAGTCATGTGACCACCGCGGCTTCGTTTACAGGCCAACATCAGAACATCAAAATTTTCAGTGACTTTTCCCAGAATAATCGGGTCTATGGCCGCAATTTCAGTCCGAATATTGCGCTTTAGGTCTTGAATTGTCCGGGGATCATTCGCATACACTTTTCCTTTCAAAAATCCCCGAAAAAAAATAGTCAAGAGGTGTTAAATCGCACGATTTCGGGGGCCAACTGACATCTGAATTTCGTGAAATTTCGTGTGCAATAAGGCGATCGTTTGGCGAGATATGTGAGCCGTTGCTCCGTCTTATATATATATATAACTTGAGACGTGGTCATTGTCGTCTAGACCAGTTAGGTGAAAAATTAAAGCTTCCGCCTTTTGTTGGGTACTTTGACAAAATTTAAGCAAAGAGGACTCTTTATACTTTTTTTAATTCTCTCTAGCTTTCAATGGACTTTGCTACTGTTATCATTGTAATTGCAGCTCCTGATGATGATGGCAAAGTCCATTGAAAGCTAGAAAGAATTAAAAAAAGTATAAAGAGTCCTCTTTGCTTAAATTTTGTCGAAGTACCCAACAAAAGGCGAAAGCTTTAATTTTTCACCTATATATATATATAATATAATACGATCCAATTGAGGCCACAAAAAGTCTGTTAACATGCCGCGATAACGTTTCCCGTTGACGGTAATGGCCTTTTCTTGGGAATCTTCAAAGAAGAATGGTCCAACGATGCCACCAGCCCATAATCCGCACCAAACAGTCACTTTTTCAGGATGGAGGATGGAGATTGGTGAGGATTTTCAGCCCCCCAGAATCTGCAATTTTGCTTATTTGCGTACCCTTTGAGGTGAAAATGAGCCTCATCAGAAAAGAGCACTTTGGCCGAAAACCCGTCTTCTCTTTCCAGCATCCAACTAACAAAAACACGCCGCTGTTGATGGTCTACCGGCTTCAATTCTTGTGTTAGTTGGATTTTGTATGGATGGAGGTGTAAATCAATGTGTAAAATCCGGTGTAAAGTCGTCTCACTAATTCCCAATTGTTGCGAAGTTTGCAAAAAGTATTTTTTATATTTCGACCGTTTTCCTACTAAGTTTGGATAACCAAAATGCGTTGTTGCGTTGTAAACCAATCCATGACTATAAATGACATATGTTTGACATTTCATTTATGCATAGCACATGACTTTTGACTCGCATGGTAACACATAAACTTATAGGTAAAAAAAGTAATAGATGGCGCACCGAGTATATTTTAGCATTGGATATTTATTTTTAAGAAAAAAATATTTTTTTGTATAGTTGACGATTTTAAGATGGTGCAGATTTTTCATTACAGAATTAGCTTGAGGAGTGAAATCATATCATGATATTTCTTTTCAGAACTGCCTTGAGCTACTACGTCGACATCACCCAGAACCCCAGGACTCACGTGCTGAAAGAACTTGCTGAATACTGCTCAGACCCTGCCGATAAAGAAAAACTCAAGTTAATGTCAAGCACATCGTCTGAAGGCAAAGCTCTGTACCAGAAATGGGTAATTGAAGATAACCGGAACATCGTGCATATATTAGAGGACATACCATCTTGTAAACCCGCTTTAGACCATGTTTGCGAACTGATGCCCAGGCTTCAACCAAGGTATGTTTTATGCGTCTTTCTCATTTTCGGTAATGGCATAAGCACAAGCCGTTTTCGTACGTATAACAAAGTTGACCTTGAAGTTAATAAGGATTAATTCTTATGACTATGCTTATGATTATACTCCTGCAAATGTTGTAGTAACCAGCCATAAGTCAATCTTCTGATATCGATTGATTATTTGTGACACAAAATTAAATCAATCTTTAATTTTGATTTTTCGATGTAACTATTGATGGTAGTGTTTTTAGTATATTTTTGTCCATAATAATTCACCATAATCAACATTGAAAGAATTAGTTTGTTTCAAATGATTAAACTTAAGGTAACATGTAATACAATCACTCAACTGTTTCTTCATTTATAGACCAATTTGACTTGCCAAAAATCCAGAAAAAAATGTAATAAGCGCTTTTACAATGGAATTATGTTCTTGAGGATATATGACAAGGCTCCTCGTCCAGAAATACAAAAAAAAATCTGCTGGCATACTTTTTTATTAAACGTCAAAGTTTGATAAATCGGGTAAATCCAAAAAATTTTTTTGACGTAAGTGGTATAAGAAAATGCCTAGTGGATGCCAAGTTTCCGTAACTGTTAATTTATTACAAAAAAAGTTAGGTAAATCGTCCATTTCTACATTTATTTTTTACTAACGATAAATCTGAAACAATACCTAGTCAAAAGTTGAAGCTTCAATATCCAGAAAAAAAATTTATCAAAAAGATCTCAAACGTTTCTGCGATTTTCTAATTGTTACTCAAAAAGTGTTTTTCCCAATTTTGACGGTCAAGTTAGCGAGCAAAACTTTAAAAACATCCTTCGTACATTATTTCAAAAATATCGAAAAAGATAAATTACTTCTACAGAGTTTCCCATAATCTTAGTATGTATTCCAAAAAAATGTGTATAACATTCCCCATTTTTTATAATGTACAACCATCTTGTTTACTGCAAATGGAAACATATTTTCAAAATTACAAATTCTACAAAATAAAGCTATGAGAATCATTTTAAATAAAAACAAATATGCTAGGATTAAGTCTATGTTAGAAGAACTGCAGTGGTTGGATGTGAAAAATGTTTTATATTATTTAGTTCTCGTTTTCATATTCAAATTGAAAAATAATTATAATACTATTATAACTAGCAAATCTGTATTTCAAAATAAAGTACAGCAGACGCTCCATAATGTAAACTAATTTAATCCAAGTGTGGTTCACATTATCGAAATGTTTACATTAGCGAACGTGATTTATATAATATTTGATTTATTAAAAGAAACGTTTAATACATACTATTTATAGCAAAATAAACAAATATTCTAACAGCGATAAGTATTTTTTTAATTAGAAGAAAAATAATTAACAATTTTTGTCTGTGTAAATTTGCGCTTAGCATTGTCTTCCAATGCCTGCGCCCGTAATTTACGAAGAACTAAAATATCCGTGTATGAAACTTCTTTTCTTTCAGCCCAATCTAAAGCTTGGTTAAAAACTTGTATAGCTTGCGCGTCAGTCACTTCACTTCTGACTTCAATGGGATCGTTCTCATCATCCTCACTGTCCATATCCTCCTCCTTATCAGCATCATTCGTCTGCTTATCTTCGTTCTGTAAATTAATATCAGCAGGAGTACAAACAATGTTGGGATTCACTGTTTTCAATAAATCAACAACATCCAATGACACACTAATAACATTATGATTATTGGATCGCAAACGTTCTCTAATTACGCTTAAGGGGACATCGTCTTCTTCATCATCTTCATTATTGGTACAAAAGAGATTGTTCCAACATTTTTGAATAGTTTGCTGGTTAAGTTCATTCCAGGCCATATGTAAATCTAAAACAGCTTCTCGTAATGTTACTTTCTTTAAAGCCTCAGATAAGTTTTCAGGATTCTTTGATAAGACAGACAAAAGTAGAAACTTCCTATAGTATAGTTTGGCGACTCTTATTATATTCTGGTCCATCGGTTGAATTAACGGTGTTACGTTGGGCGGCATGTACATAACGAAAATTGACCCATCCCTGCTCCTCAGTTGTTGCTCGGGAGGATGACTTGGTGCATTATCCAATAGTAACAACGCTTTTATTGGATGCTTCTGTTGTTTTAGGAAACCTTTTACCTACAAATTGAAAACACATCTTCAAATTATGAATAGAGTATTTGTGATAATTGATTGTCATACCTGAGGGACAAAGCACCTGTGGAACCATATCAGGAATATACTGCTAGTCATCCAAGCGGTTTTTGAACAGTAATCAACAGGGATATTAACATTTTTAAATGAGCGCGGATTTTTTGCTTTCCCAATTACCAGTGGCTTTATTTTGTGTGAACCATTAGCATTAGTGCAGGCTAGAAACGTTATTCGTTGTTTCTCCGGCTTTCTTCCCGGGGCAGATTTTTCAAATGATGCAGCATAGGTTTTCTCTGGTAACATTTTCCAATAAAGGCCACTTTCATCTGCGTTGTAAATTTGTTCCATTCTTAAATCTAGCTCGGTAATTGTTTTCATCAATTTTTCTTTGAATGGTTGCACTAATTGTGGTTGTGCTGATAATTTTTCACCAGATATAGACAGCAGTCGAATTCCATATCTTGTTTTGAATCGTTGTAGCCAGCCATCACTAGCTACGAAATTTTCAGTTTCTTTCAGTTTTTCATTTAAGAGTCTCGCTCTCTGTTTAAGTACTTCGCCACTAACTGGGACATGATTTTCCCGTTGTTTTAAAAACCACTTATACAGGGAATTTTCCATTTTAGGTGCCTTCGCATTTTTTAGAGTTTTTCTTTTTCCCGGACCTCCAAATGTATTGCACGTTCTTTGTAAAATTTGAGTTTTCATACGCTTAATTTTCGATACTTCATATTTTTTTGCTAACTGTGTCACTCCCGCACCTAGTGCAACTTCATCTATGATTTTCACTTTCTCACTCAACTTTAAACACTTTCTTTTATAGGATGTGGATGCCATAGTCGTAAAATATATTAACGCGTGCAATGTATTCACTTAAGTTCAAAAATGAAATACATACGTACGTATAAACGTATCCTAAACGATGATACGACTGACCGAGTTTGTCGTATTTTATGCAGAGGTGAATCCCCTACACTTTACATCATAAATCGGGGACTCCCCGACGCCCGACCTAAATCATGGAGGCTTCAGCATTTGACCGTCGCGCTGTTTCCGTGCGCCGAGAGTTGTTTACGTTATCGAGCGTACACATTGTTTACGTTATCGCGCGTTCCGTTTGATCCTATAGAACGAAGTTTGTGTTTACATTAGCGCAAGTTTTCATTATCCCGTGTTAACGTTATCGAGCGTCTGCTGTATTTGAATTTAATAAATTGAATAATCATGAATTTAAAAATGTATAAGGTGAAATTAAAAAAGCACTTTATAGGTATACACAAATAATTATAAAAAAATGACATTGTAGCATCAATGCTAAATAAAGCACAAATCCATGTCTGATTTTTATTGCATGATCGTTTTTTCTTCTACTTGAAAATGTTTTTATTGCTATCCACAACAAAACAAACAAAGTAGACATTCAAAAGCATAAATCTTGATTAGCTCTTAGGTAGGCAGATACAGTTTAAAAGTATCGTAACTCATATTTTATCTGCAGGTATTACTCAATCTCGTCAAGTTCTAAAGTTCATCCGACAAGCATTCACGTGACAGCAGTAGTCGTAGAGTATACGACGCCGACAGGAAGGCTGAACAAAGGCGTAGCAACAACATATCTCAGGAAAAAGAAACCTCAACCTGAAACTGAAAAGCCAGTAGTGCCGATCTTCGTACGAAAGTCACAATTCAGGTAGGTTCAAATGAAAGTTACAGTCCTGTTTTGATCCATACGTCGAAGAGTAATAAAATACTTATACAGGGTGTTAATTAAGTATGTACAATAAATTTAACAGACGATTTTTTGAGAAAGACAAAAAGTTCATATAAATTCTTCGTTCTCAAAATACAGGGTTCAACATCCTGATGTGAACTAATATTTGTGACCGAAAAATGTACGCTACTGACTGTTGTGGAATTTTTAGTATGGTCTTTGCATTAAGCAAATAGAAATACAACTTATTTGTCTCTTAAATTCTTCTCGCATCTTGCTTAGTTTTCGAGAAAAAAAGTCTAATGACCTGCTTATCCCTGGACCACACAAGGAAAGTAAAAATAATATAGGGTTGTCCAATAGGGACGCAGGAAAGTAAACGTCAATTTGACATAGACGCCATCTTTGTTTTCTGTCACCGACATGTCATTTTGTTAGTTGAATGTTTACCATTGATCGCTATGGAGTCTTATTCGATTGAAGACCGCATTAAAGTTATTCAAGAGCACCACAAAAATGGTGCAAAAATAAAAAACACGTTTCGCGCGCTTCGTGAACATTTCGGTCGCAACAACCGCCCAAACGAAACAACCGTCGGTCGTCTGGTGCGTAAATTCGAGGCAACAGGTTCTGTGGCAAATCTGCCAGGCTCTGGCCGGCCAAGGAGCGTTCGCACACCGGAAAATATTGCTGTTGTGAAGGAGAGTGTGAGAGACGATCCGAAACAATCAACAACGCGTCGATCCCAAGAACCAGTTTGCTCCGCATTCTCCACAAGGGTTTGAATGTACACGCCTACAAGATCCAATTGACGCAAGAGCTGCGTCGGGCCGACCATTTTTCGCGCCGAACGTTCTCAGATTGGCTCCTTGAACACGGCCAAATTGATGGCAATTTTTCATCAAAAATCATGTTCAGCGACGAAGCGCATTTCACTTTGAATGGGACGGTAAACAAGCAAAACTGCCGCATCTGGGCGAACGAAAATCCCCGTGAGTATCAAGAGCAGCCGATGCATCCTCAAAAAGTGACTGTGTGGTGTGCATTGTGGTCAAAAGACATCATCGGACCTTACTTTTTCGAATATGCGTCCGGGGACGCCGTTACCGTCAATTCCGAGCGATATAACGTGATGATAGAGGACTATTTTTTGCCGCAACTTGAAGGAATGGATATGGACGATGTTTATTTCCAACAAGACGGTGCAACATGCCACACAACCGACGTCAATATCCATCGATTGCAGTCCTTCTTCGGTAATCGCGTGATTTCGCGCAGAGGAAATGTTCCATGGCCACCAGGATCGTGCAATTTGACTCCCTTGGACTTCTTTTTATGGGGATATTTGAAAAGCAAAGTCTACGTCAACAAACCAGCCACCCTCCAAGAACTCAAAAACAACATCATTGCCGAGATAAATGCCATAGAACCGACCATGTTGCAAAATGTCATTGAAAATCCAGTCGTGGTGAACATTTGAGCGATATTATTTTTCATGCATAAATGGTATAAATGAACCTTCAAAATAAAATACCCAACTTGATTTGAATATCAATCTTTCTTGTTTTAATATGCGTTTACTTTCCTGCGTCCGTTTTGGACAACCCCATACTAAATAACATTAACATCTAGTCTAACAAATTTCACTAGAAAAGTGTTGGAAATACCTGGCGTATACGTAAATTAATGACTCTATTCCGTAAATCATCTTCACTTTCAATAGGAGGTTTGTATACCAACGCTTTAAAGTGTCTCACAGAAAATAATCAAAGGGATTCATATATGGCGAGCGAGGGGGCCATAGGTGTAGGCCTGCTCTCTCAATCCAACTATGGTAATCTTCATCCAAAAATTGCCGCGTCACTACACCAAAGTGCGTAGTCCTTTACGTATTTCTTAACGTGAATATTTCCAGGCTACCAACCAAACACCAGACCCCGGTTATCATGATTGGCCCCGGTACCGGCTTGGCGCCCTTCAGGGGCTTCATCCAGGAACGAGACCACGCCAAAAACGAAGGCAAAGAAGTTGGAGAGACAATCTTATACTTCGGATGCAGGAAGAAGTGCGAAGACTTCATCTATGGAGAAGAGCTGTTGGAATATGAAAAGAAAGGCTTACTGAAGTTGTACTGTGCTTTCTCCAGGGATCAACCTCAAAAGGTCTACGTGTCGCATTTGTTGGAACAACACACCGACGAAGTATGGAGGCTCATTGGAGAAAGTAATGCGCATTTGTATATTTGTGGGTGAGTACGATGACTTGCTACAGTGTACGGTAATTAAAAGTAAGCTCGCTGATTTGCATTTCGATTAATTATTCTGAATTTGTCAAATATAAAAACAATTTTGTCACATTGTATGCAAGTGGTAGGTACATACAGAAACGCCGTTTTTTAGCTTCATCAGATTTTCTGATCCCTTTCGAACTGTGGATCTTTCCTGTGTCTTTCTAACATTGTGCGACAAGAAGCAACTCGGGGCTCATAATCCCGGGGCAGGAGAGGTTGAACACGCTGTATGTGGTATGGATGAAGCACATCACTTACTTGCTATTGCACACTTTGATACCGATCAGTACTCCTTCGTTTACTGCGCATCTTTACATGTTCGTGCTTGTTGATTTCGTACTGTTACTAATTTTGGATTCGTGAACTGGACTGTTGATCGCTTGTGATTTGGATTTGGACTGTTTAATTGCTCTTCAAAACAACATTGCTTTCCTTAGACTATCTTTGATAGTGTGATTGTGCAGTGCCGCTATGTCCGTGTACACCGTACAAAAATATTCTAACATGCACCTCATTTATGGGGAATGCAGATGCAACGCTAGTGATGCAGCGAGACTTTACTGTGAGAGGTACCCGAATGCAACTCGTCATCCAGATCATCGAGTGTTCCCAATGTGCACCGATTACTATTCTCAGAGGGCCAACTACCAAACAAATCACACTGTGATGGAAGATATTTATTTCCTTCCTTACGAAGACGTGGTGCTAGGAGCTGTCGAAGAAGACCCGAGTACTTCAGTGCGTGCAATAGAACTAAAAACAGGTGTGCCCAAAAGTACAGCCCATAGAATGTGCTCCATCCATACCACGTACAGCGTGTTCAAGCTCTTCTGCCCCGGGATTATGAGCCCCGAGTTGCGTTTTGTCGCACAATGTTAGCAAGACACAGGGAAGATCCACGGTTCTTTGAAAAAATTTTATGGTAAGATGAGACCACATTTAAGAAAGATGGGTACATGAACCTGCATAACGAGTGGCACGTAGCAAACCCACATTTGATGAGAGAAGATAAATCTCAATATCGCTTCAAGATAAACCATTGGACAGGAATTTTAAATGGTAAAATAATCGGTCCGTTTGAGTTCCCAGAGACTTTGACTGCTGAGGTTTATTTAGGTTTTTTGCAAAATCATTTAGAAAATTTATTGGAGGACGTGCCACTGAGTATTTACAGGGACATGTGGTTTCAGCATGATGGCTGCCCAGCGCACTATGCACTCTCAGTGAGAGAGTATCTCGATCAAAACTTTCCAGGCAGATGGATAGGGCGATCTGGTACAATACCGTGGCCAGCCCGGTCACCAGATTTGAATCCGTTAGATTTTGTTTACTGGGGAACTGTAAAAGAAAAAGAGTATTTCAAGCCGATTCAAAATGTAGCTGAGCTACGGAAAGACTATTGGAAGCAGCTGAGTTTGTTAATAACCGTGGATTCGCTCGTTTAATAACCCGATCTTTTTTAAGAAGATGTCGAGCGTGTATTGCGGCTGAAGGAAAACAGTTTGAGCTGTAAAGGTAAATCATCATCAGCAGCATTTTGACGCCCACTGTTGTGCAAACAGTTATCCTTAAGGGTTCTTGTGCGCTTTCATAATCGCTGTTTAATTAGGAAATTTTGAAAAATTTTCATCACTTTTTCTTCCAATACAAAATTGTGCATAAGTTAACGAGTAATCTTCTAAGTGTTATACCATTTTGGAATCGTTGTTAAATGCGCCAACTTTTAAGGTTACTTGTCAAACTCTCGTAGTACATTTTTTTCCAGTACAGCCAGTTAAAGTTGAGCAAAGTTTTACTTTGGAATACTTGGTTGGAAAATAAGTGGCAATTTTTCCTGAACGAGAAAAGTTGGCAGTAAGGTTGAGACACCAGTTTGAAGATGCATTATTCATCATTGCATTGTAAAAATAAAATCCAAAAAAAGTTAATATTTGTAGTAACAGGAGTTGACAGACTGCCGTAGGGTGTGAAATTTCTATATCTTTTTCAAAGACCTATAATTTTCAAAACACATACATGAAATTTTTTTAAATATTTTTCTGATAGCTGTTATGACTTTGCCTATCACCCGGTTTCGGCTTGACGTCGACTTCTGTATAAGGTATGCACTTTGGGCCTGTTCTATTTTTTTTTGTTGGGGATGAACATGTCGAATTGCTTTAATTTTGACATTTTTGACGAAAACAGGTTGTACTGCTGTACAATGATATCCCTCCTAATTATAAATACAGATTATTTGTTCATGCTGAAGGAAACCAGTCAAATCTTCTCTTTCTTCACAAAAACTAAGAGATAAGATTTTAACAAAGGTAAACAAAAACAAAGATAGAACGCTGACATTATTGCCACAACATGTTTTAAATATAGTTATGTTGCCAAAAAACAAGTTGAAGAGCATCATTTTGTACATTTTTGTTTTCACTGAGGTCTTGTGCTAATATTCGATAATGAAATTAGCTGTTCATATTTTCGCGGCAATATTGCTAACGCATCAACTTTTTCACCAGCGATGCCAAGTCCATGGCCACAGATGTACGAAACGTGATTCTGAAGATCTTCCAAGAAAACGGCAAAATGACCGAACCCGAAGCTCAGGCGTATCTTAAGAAGATGGAGACACAGAAGAGATTCTCAGCTGACGTGTGGAGTTAAACTCTCGTACAAAAGATAGGAGATGTTTATTTATTTAATAACGAATAAGTTCTTATCGAAGAATAACAACGTGTCTTGCCATTCCGACATTAGCTGATTGCACTAGTCAGTATTGACAAGTTATGTAAGTTTGGGAAGCTAGATACATTTCCGTGAAGGTATTATGATTGTATTTTTGTTTTACTTTGCCAAGGGACTGTCATCGTTATTTGTGTTTGTACTTCTGTATGATACAGCCGCGTCATGATTCTATAAATCAGATTTCAATATTATTTTGGGCACCTCCCATACGTTATATTGTTATGGACGGGAATGAAATAAAAAACTCATCAATTTTCTAGTAGCATAGTTAGTCTTTGTTTCATGGGGTGAACATGTAGGTTTTAGTCATTCATTTTCTGTAGAATAGCATCATCTTCACCCTCATTTTTTGTAAATAATATCCCACTAAATTGACAAAAATTTATAATTAAAAAAATCGCAAATATTCGAATCGCTGATGAAAATAAGGACCAATCACCTTCCATGCTCATATATATGACATGTCTGTCACTTCCGCATCAATACATTACGTATTTTGTCAAAAAAAAATTATCATAAAAAATTATATAACTTAGTGACAATTTCCTCCAAATCCAATATTTTTCCATCTACTGTGCGCATACTATTTTGTGATACTTTTGATATATTTTAGAATTGTGCATATGTGATTGCGGTTTAATTTTAGAAATTCTTTTAGTCTATACATATTTATGACATTGTTGCCGAACCGAAGTCGGTAGATATTTTTATATTGCTCGTGCGCACACAACACAGATTTTTTGAAATCATTTTTTTCTACGTGTCGCTCTTGGCTGTGGCTCTTTCTCTGAAAATATCTGAATTCTTCCAGAAAATCGTGGAAAAGCAGGACTTTTTCGGTTTTTCGGCAGAAATACAGAATAATCGATACATTCGGCAACAGTGGACAACACCTATGTATACTTTTGTGAATCATTCCATAAAGTGCCTTGTAGTTGTTTTTGTCATTGGTTATAAGTTCATTCTAAGTTTCATATCTGATTGGGTATAATAGTGACATAAAAAATCATCAGTCCGATGTTGGCAACAGTAAACTTGAGAATAACTTTTTTCTAGTGAACTTATAATCATGTATCTGTGCTATGACTGTCATTTGTTGATTATATTTTTTACTATTATATAAGCCATATTTTATTAAAAATGTATAATAAAATATATTTACTTTCAGTCGAGTTTTATTTCATTAATTCCCCAGCTAACAAAATCGCTTGCTATGCATTTTCTACGAATGTCTTATTGGGGCATACCTTATTTTGACATCTACGCATGCGCAGATACAATACTGCATTTGTGAGGGATAAGGTACGTCCTTATTGGAGCTATGATAAGGCGGGCTTATGTCACGACGATTCACGATCCAGAAAAATCAGGTGTGGTCGCAAGCCTGACCTAACCTATAAGTTCAAAATTGCGTGAATTTAGCTGTGGATTGCATGGATAGCGTTTTTGGACTTATTTGTTGGTGATTATGGATAAAAGATGAGATAATACTAATAATGCAGCTGGAACTGCGGTAACCGTTAATGGTGTGCTGTATCGCGAACTGTTAACCGATTTTTTTTGTTCCCAGTTGGATCGAATTGATGTTGACGATATGTTCTTCCAACAAGACGGTGCGACCTGCCACACACCACGCGAAACAATGGTGTTACTGCGGACCAAGTTTCATCTCTCGGTTTGGCGATCAAAATTGACCACCAAGATCGTGCGATCTAACGCCAATAGACTTATTCCTCTGGGGCTACGTGAAGGAAAACGTGTATGCGAACAAGCCACAAACAGTTGAACGCCTTGAAGAAAAGATACGACGCGTTATCGACGAAAAAGAGCCACAGTTGTGCGAAAACGTTATCCAGAATTTTAAGAAAAGTGCCAGAGGTCCTATTTCATGTTTGATCGCAACTATTGCTCTTTATGTTGAACTATACATACTCGCTTAATTCGAAAAGAGATTGTGTTATTCTTGAAAATCAAATCCGGCGCTGTTATTGAGACTACCTTTAGTTTTTCTACAGGAGCAACTGCTTATGCGATGTTTTTGTATAAGCCGAATGATTATTAACGAAACTTATCTTTCACAGGGTGGAATGTTACTATCTCGTGACAATACGATTTTGTATAAGCACGTCCTAAAAATGAATATTCTTACATGTACGCAAATGGATATATCCCTTACGTGAATATGCTAAGCACATTTCCGTTCCAGTTGTTCTTAAATCGTGTATTTCTTTTAGGATCTAAAACGTACATTCCGAGAATTTGAATATATGTTTACTTGGAATGTATACGATTTTTAGATTTCTTGGTGCTTTAACAGCGGTGGTAGCGGAGGAAATGATTATCGTTGTACTTGGGGCTTCACCCACGCTAAAACAATGACTTGTGTCTTCAAAAAAAAGAAATACATTTTTTTTGTTTGAACAGGGTAATTTCGAAAATCAATGGAAGTCGGTCTTTCTGGATACTGCCCAAGTAAAGGAAACTTGCCAACTTTACTGGTTGCATGCATACTAAAAATAATGACAAATTTTGACGATTGACAGAGAAAACCAAATTTGTTGACGACTTGAGTTCAATGTGTACGAGAGAGATGGAAGCCGACTGAAGAGCGAAGGTCATTACCACATTGCCTAGCAATGGTGAAAATGTTCGCACAGGCTGCTACAAGAGATTAGGTTACCGTCAAACCTAAGAAGGAGGTGATTTGATATTTTAGATCAGAGTTACTAACTACTCATAAAGAGCTTCAAAATGACTTATCACGAGTCCCTAACTACGCTAACATCCCTAAATGCGTCGTCTCATCGGCAAGATGTCATCTTGCAAACTAGGTAGTTTTTAAGGCGCAAACATTAATCAAATCCAAGCGAATAACCAAAATTTCTGTGTTATGTGCCGCGGTTATAACATGGTTCAAGATGACACACGGGTTGATGACGTCAGTTACACGAATCGCTTGAACGCGTTGGTTTTAACCGCGGTTTTGTTGCAAGTTGTTTATTTTAGAAAAGCGCGTATATAATCTCTGATTATTTTCATTATCACTTAATAATCGGTGCTTTTTCGTCTACAACTGTATATGGAAAGTTTAAATAAGAAACCTTTCATAATATTCATGGGAGAAATGTTTTTTTCAGATTTTTTTTTAATGATGGAACCATGGCTTTGTAGCTATGATAACTTTCAATTCCTTAAATTTTTCCGCATGTCAAAGAAAACATTTATTGATTCAGCAGAAATGATGAAAAAAGATATTAGCAAAACCGTATACAGGTGGATATCATCTAGTGAGTTTATATGGCCATATTTTAATATTCTCGTGGTATATGGCTACACAGAATACTTTGTTAAGCATAGGAACTACATTTAAAGTGTCCTCAACAACCGTAATGAGTATAACTAATAAGTTGCTCCACTTTATGGTAAAACTGAAGTCAGCCTGTATCATTTTTCTCAAAAATGAAGCTGAAGTACAATAACAATATCCAATACCCGGCAAAATTCTGACTTGTCACATTTCAAATAATAACCAGAAATATAAAACTACTCTTGAGTTGGGTAAATACCACAATTTTGCGGTGATAACTATGACATATAACAGCTGATTCGTGACGTCACGGATCTTATAACCAAACTGATAACTACACTCGCTTGAACGGATTGGTAAATACCAACCCAAAATGGTAAATACCATTTCCATTTGGTTATCCGCTTGAATTTGATTATTCATTCCACGTTTGCTCACTAGGATCGTTGTGAACATCCATCTAAGGAGGAATCACTCAACTAAACTAAACGCATTATTGGTTGCATATGTTTTGTGAGGCCAAATGGCCCTTGTCTGTAGTTTTTATCTATGAGAAAAAAGTTGGTTGAATAGCAAGATCGCATCTGGATGATTATGTGTATTGGTCTGCATGTGTATAAAATCAGTTATATTTGCTGTGTGAGAAAATCATTACTGAATATGATGTTATTATTGTTGTGCTTTCTGAAGAGAGGTTATGTTCAAAGTTAGAAATTATGAAAAACTGAGGAGAATTACAGGAAATCATCACCGCGTCCGCGTTATGTGTAATTACTGTTAGCATGTATATATGGCTTGTAATTCGACAGTGTACAGTGAATATAATGATTTCTTATCTCTCATTTTTTAAATACAGCAAATTTTTATATGGAATTTCCAGACTGGATAAGAAAAAGTGGATGCGCAACTAATTTCTAGCTTTGAATCTCAATTAAGTGTATTTGAGACAAGAACCCAATGTAATTATCATCAACACATACAACTGACAGCTTAGACCTTCAGTAATTCCATCTCAGAAGCAGATTTTACATCACATCAGAGCCAAAGATTGATAACAAGCGTCTTGGCGTTTAGGCAACACGTACAACTAAATGCCAAGCTAATACATATCTTGTAGAAAAACCTACATAATGTCAAAAAAAAGCAGCATAATGTCAAGAAAAATCGGCATAAAGTCACTTTTCAAGATACGTGATACCCGTGCGGTTTCTCATATCATCTCTGTATATCATCTTTTAGCAACTGTTGCACCCACATCGCACGTCACTGCTTAACAAACCTTGAACATGACTACTCGAACGGTTTACCTGTCAAGTATAGCTCATCCGTCAGTAAAACGTCCATGTCATATGTCATTTGTAGTGTCAAAATGATCGTCATACGTCATAATTTTTGTGATCATTCAATCATTTGGAATATCCTTCACCTGTGTCTTTTCACTCGAAAATTTATATAAATTTGAAATTCTCCACTGTAATTTCGATAACGAAATAATCTAATATGGGCTTGTGAAAAATGGGTTTTGAACTGAACAGATTCCAAGGAGAAGTAGACGAAGAGCTAGTATGTCCAATCTGTTCAGGAGTTTTGGAAGATCCACTACAGGTTCTGATCAAGTTTCCTGTATATTTGATTGTTCGTAACGAAAATGAATTTTTAGGCCCCGGTTTGTGAACACGCCTTTTGCAAACCGTGCATAACAGAATGGATTTCTAGACAACCGACTTGTCCGGTAGACAGGCAGAGTGTAACATCACCCCAATTGAGACAAGTACCAAGAATATTGCGAAACTTATTGTCTAGGTATCTAAATACATATATAATTATTTTCTACTTTGATGATCTTGTATACAACAGGCTTTTATGATGACAAGCTTAGGTTGATTGTGGAGTGAGTCCTATATTATGTCATTTATACAAGTTTAGAAGAAGATTTATTTAGTTAGAAATAGGATGCTGTCAATAAAAATCCTCAGTTTTAAAACCATAAACAAACAGGTAGCCAAAAATTTGATTAATTCATTTTTTAAATAAACATCAATCAGCAATGCACATTACAAAAACAAAGTCAAGTATGAATAAATTTAAGTAACTCTTTCTTGAATTTATCAGGAGTTGATGCACCTAGGCAATTTGTTGAGTCACTTTTAAAAAAAAGGGATAAGGAGAATTATTGTATGTTAAGAACTCATTCATTGCTTCAATCAATTTCTTCCAAGGAAAATAATGCTACTCCAGACCCACTAAAAAAACATGGAAAAAATACTAATACTTCTCATCCATTGAACTGTTAAAAGTTTATTCGCAAATTTCTCTTAAAAACAAATTCCAAAAGCTGAATATTTGTTGTTGAATTATTTCTTCATCTTCACATTGCACATGTGAATTAAGCAACTGCCTAAATATCAAAAAAATGTTCATCTCAAAAAGAATTTTTTGTTGAAGGAAATAGAGCATATATTATGCAATAGTAAAATCCTTGAAACCTATTTAATATATTACAATGAGTAATGAGGTAATACCACCACAACAAAGGATGTGTTCAACACTTGCTTACTATTTTTTCCTGTACAAATTTATCATCAACCTGAAAAGTATTCAAAATCAACATTATATGAAATTTAAAAAAAATACTGCCGTCTTGTTGGTTGAAGTAAAACCTTCAAAACCAAACTTTGAGGATGTTTTTTCAACACATGGAGGTATACCACCATGGCTTACAAGATGTTCACAATAATATTGATAACAGAATCCCTTCAATCTGCATTTTTGTTGATTTAAAGAAAGCTTTCGACACAGTTAATCACAAATTATTATTAGAAGCATTGGAGAGAATTGGTTTCAGAGGAAACGCGTACTCACTGATCGAAAGTTATTTGTCAAATCGCCCACAATCTGTGCAGATATCAGGATCATTTAATAAAGAAATGTATATTAAGTGTGGTGTCCCACAAGGAACTGTCTTAGGTCCGCTGTTATTCAATATATATTTAAATGATATTTTCCAAATTAATTGTGTTGGCAAAATAACTAGTTTTGCAGATGATACTGCAATATTATATGAAGGCACTGACTGGTCTGATCTGAAAAATGTAATTGAAAATGATTTTATCAAAATTATTCGGTGGTTTAACAGTAGAAAATTAAGCATTAACTACTCTAAAACACATTTTTTACCATTTAGATCTTATGCTAGACATCTGCCAAATTACACAAGTTTCTCCTTCAATATTAATGATCAAAAAATGCAAATTAATAGAGTGCCCAACATAAAATACCTTGGAGTGGTTTTGGATCCTCACTTACGATGGGACATCCATATCAATTATATTTTAAAGAAAGTTAGATTTGTATCCTACAAAATTAAATACTTTGGGAATATATTGACAGAAAAATATCTTCGAACATTATACCATGCACTGATTGAGCCTCATCTCACATATGGTATATTAGCATGGGGAGCTGCATGTTCCTCACATATCTATAATTTAGATGTTTTTCAAAAAAGTATTCTAAAAATGATATTTAAAAAACCGAAACTTTATCCCACTGAAAAATTATACGCAGATGTTCGAATGTATGATATAAGACAGCTTTATTTCTTACACAGTATCACTCACTACCATAAATTTGTAAACACCGAAAAAAAATTAAACATAGTCATTATACCAGGTACAAAATTCGTGGCACAGTAGTTCCTCAACCGCATAAATCTATAATGCAGCGATCATATCTCTATTTAGCGCCTAAATTTTATGAAATTATACCTAAAAACTTAAAAGATTTACGTTTCGGAAATTGTTTCAAAAGAAATTTAAAAAAGTGGCTACATTCTATATCTAGGACTGAAATTCATAAACTCATAAATACGAACATCAACTAAATACATAATCTACTGTAGCTAATTTTTGTCCTTTTTTGTCATTTGCATTCTACAGTTTCAACTTAAATTATTGGTCCATGTACAGGCGATGCCTTCTATTGGGCCTGTTTTGATTTTATATTTATTTACTCATATTGTTTGTTATCTTTGTACATTGAGTGAATAAATATTATTATTATTATTATTTCAGCTTATTAAAAATTTAGCTCCCTAAACAACTGAGGTTACATTCAATCATGTTCTAGATATACAGACACTCCATTCTATAAATATTCTAGTTTCCATACTGGCTCAAAATGAATCCATGCTGTCAATTTTGGTTGTTTCATTGATGTTTGGGGCTTTTACAAGCATGGATAGTTTTTCCATGGAGCAATTGTAAATGGGGAGTTTAATATGGGGGCCATGATCTTAAACCATAACATCATCATATTTATTATGAAACTGTCATATCAGTAGAATCTGTCCAAACCTTGTCGAAAGAGTTCCTACCAACACAATTTTTGAGACATTAGAAAACAATCTCTAATGTTTTACTGACTGCACTGACTTTAGTGCAATTTTTATGTTCTTTGGATTAGGCAAATAGAAATACAACTTTTTTGTCCCTCATTTTTTTTTTCGTATCTCACTTAGTGTCCGAAAAAAAGGCCCAAGTTTCCGAAGTCATGATCACGTGACACTTTTTCACGATACATATTTGGTAACAGGTAACAGTGAATATCATTTACTAAATCTCAGTGTGATATATCTCCTTTTCAAGTGATTCTTTCTGCTTTTGAATCAATGGCAAAATCTAGAGTTATAATGTGAGTAACAATTTCGTTCTTTGATGCAATACACAAGGAAAAAAGTTGCAAAATTGAAAATATTCAAATATATAAATAAATATTCATATAGTTTGATTAGAGGGAATATCCAAAAACCAAATAGTTACTTTTTTTGTCAAGAAAAAACAATAACAGGAAAATACATAGCATCAGTTTTTTTTTTTGATATATTACTAGTCAAGCCACAAAATTGTACACACTGAGAACCAGATTTATCTGACGGCTTGAGTTCTTCATATACTAAGATAAAAAAAATCATATGCCTTCCTCCACCTGCTATAAACCACAATCCCCGAAATTTTAACCCCTAAGTGATCAAGACCGTCTAAAACGTCAATTGGGGGATTTTTTGCCTTTTTCTCTACCGCCACTGAACCGATTTTCAAAAACTACAAAGCTTTTGCATTCTTGGCATAGTAGTAACATTGTCTATATAATTTCATCGCAATCCGAGCAGTACTCCTCAAGTCATATGCGTTTATAAGATTAGCGGACAGTTTTTCGTCATATAACATCCAAAAAAACAACATCTGATTTTCGGAAGTAATTACACAAGTGCATCAGGATTACCGATAATGTTTCTCCTTCGGAGTAGTGGCTCTTTCACCAAAATATGAAAATCACCGAATGCGGTTTTTTACTATTTCTCTCGTCTTAATTTCTACCAATCGCAAACGCGCAATTTTTAATTACAAATGGTTTCTAGATGGAAAAATTGTATGACAGCACCTGTCAGCAGTTTCTTCGAGTTTACCCGAGGCAAAACATGACAGCTGTTGTCACCAGAAATTACAATACCGTTGATAACAAGTAATTATGGTCTAATAGGCCACCAAAAAACGACGCTAAACAATTTTTCTGATTTTATTGTCAATAAATTTTGTAATATTGTTTTGAAACAATACTAGTCAGCTCACGTAGTGAAAATGAGTCGCGGTGGAAGTGATTCTTTGACTAATATTGATCTGACTATTGAGAAAAGTGTACCGTACAATACCGTAAAAACCCATGCGTCAATATAGAAACAGATTACGGAATTCTGCAAGGCAAAGGAATACGAGCTTTTGGAAACTACAAGTTTGTAGTATTTTGTGAAAAAATAAATTACCGGTTTTTCAGTTTTCAAAATAATACGTAGATATTTATTATGTATGCATGTATAATAGGTAGTATGTTTTGTAAGCCATGTGTATGCAGAATAATATGTTACTCATGAAATAGTATTGTCAAATACCATTCGGAATCTAACTTTTTCCTGTGAAAAAAATCGAAAAAACAATGCAAAGTATTATTTTTTCGGAAAAATTTGATGCCCTTATTACTTATGAAAATTTCTCGTTGTCTAGGCAACGGGAAATTTTCGCTGTAATTTTGTGATAATCGCACACCTCTTATGGCATTTTTTATACACGAGGGAAATATTCGCGATTACAATGCTTCTCCGGCAGTACGCGTGAGAGGTATAAGTCGTTATAAGCACTAGATCAACTGCTATACGAGTGAATGTATTACAGGCTGTCAATAAACTGTGATAACGCCCAGTACGGGTGTACACGGGTCCTCAAGCTGGATTCGCTCCCCGCCCACCTAGAAGAATGTGAATACAATCCGAAGAGGCCGCTGCCTTGCGAGCAAGGTTGTGGCCTCATTATACCAAAAGATGAATTCAAAGATCACAATTGCGTTAAAGAGCTGAGGGCGTTGATACACAGCCAACAGCAGAAAATGAACGAATTCCAGCAGGAAATCAACGAGCAGAGGTTTCTCATAGCGGAGCAAAGGCGAGAGATGCAGCTTTTAAAAGTAAGGAAAATTTAATTGGCTTCTATGTAACAATATTTCTGATTTTTATATTTCATTTTTGTTTGTTCTGTGCTGGTGGCCCTTCAGCCGCAGGGGCCCCTACCTAGCTTAAGATGGCCCAGATCCAAAACATACTGCAGTTGACAAAATTGACCATCAACCACTTTTACAAAAAAATTAATACACGAGATTCAAGGAAAACTTACGTGGATCTTCTCAAGTCTTACCTTGACTTGAGAACTCAATCTGTGTGTTCTATAATGGATTTAGTTCTTACACATACATGTCAAGTAGCGGTGTACCTCAGGGTTCCAATCTGGGTCCCCTGTTGTTTGTCTTATACATCAACGATCTTTGCAGTTCATTTTCATGCAACATACTTATGTTTGCTGATGACCTGAAGCTTTACATATCTATTTCTACCTGGCAAGATTGTGAAAACCTCCGACGGATGTATCAATAACAATTTGAACAACTCTAAATGCCCAATTTTAACCTTCACCCGGAAAATTAAAATTTTAACTCACTCATACAAAATAAATGATTCTGTATTGGAACAGTGTGGAACTTTCAAAGATTTGGGCGTGTATTTCGTATTTTTAACTACATCAGTGGAATTATAAGTAATGGCGTATCGTATTATCAGAAATTCAGTATTGGAGTTCCAGCACTGCCATTAGGAATGGAAGAACCATTTCCAGTGCTGTGTGGCATCAGAAGGAAGTTATACAATATAAAATTGTAATTATAGTTATACAAAAATCGAATAAGTTGAAAAATGCTAGTATACATGTCCGAAGTCAAATGAAATTTCGAAGTTAAAAGGAAATATGTGTTTGCACAGCACAGAAATAGATGAACTTAAGAAAAAAAAATGATTCATTACAGATTTACATTCAGAAAACTGTTTTTATTATTTTAACAGGATTTTATGAGGGCAATGCGAATATCCAATCCTTCCATGAGAGCAATAGCTGATGCGATGGAGAGAGACGAGGTGCTTAGGTGGAGCAATTCACTCCAAAGGGCCAGAGTCACTAGATGGGGAGGAATGATATCAACCCCAGATGAAATACTTCAGGTATAATAATATCACTTTTATCTGCGTCATTACAGCGAAACACGATTTTTACTATCCAAAGCCTAATTTATTACTCCACACTATAACACTCGAAACTAATTTATGACATACTTATAACTATTTCGACTGGACTATCCCGTTCTGTGGTGAGTCAACGCCCGCTGCCGACTGCTCAGCTGTCTGTAAACTCGACTGTACTGTATCCCCTTCCACTATCGTTGCGCTCATATATTTTGAAATCTACCTATCCAGAAGCTCTCCAGAACATTCGCGCGTTATTTCTCGAACGCTCCCGATGGTTACCGAACCCTCTCGATCGCTCACGTACGTGAACGCGGTTGCTCTCGAAGCTTCTGCAGCACACTGCAAACCAGCTCCGAAAAACATTTTTTTTCCTCGAAAACTATGCGAGATGGCCTGTTTTTATAACAGATAAAAAAGAAGTAAATAAAAAGAACTTTTAAATAAAGTTTCACCCTTCATTCAATTCGGATTATCGGTTCCAAAAATGCCTGAAAAAAAATGTGTTTTAAAAAGAAAACCTTGACGTCCTCATCAATCATTTTATGTTGAATCTAAAAATGCGCGGTACTTCTATGTCCCCCGAATATTGGACACCTTGTACAACCTACTTTGTTTTTAGCATCTTACAAATTTCGCATCTTCCCTATTGCAGCGGATGATAAAACGCACCCTGACCGAGATGGGCTGTCCGCCGCACATCCTAGACGACCTGATGGAGAACTGTCACGAACGCAGATGGCCGCCCGGCCTCTGTTCGTTGGAGACGCGCCAAAACAACCGCAGACAATACGAGAACTACGTGTGCAAAAGGGTGCCCGGCAAGCAGGCCGTGCTGGTGCTCTATTGTGATAACGCGCACATGAGCGAGGACATGATGGTGGAACCCGGTTTGGTCATGATATTCGCGCACGGCATCGAATAAAAAAACCGCCTCTAGGAAATGTTAGAAGTGGGATGGATGATAACTGAAGAGTGAGAGAGATAGTCGCGGACAAAGAGGGAAAATGGAAGGATCGTTTGGAATTTTTTGTCGTGGCAGAAACTCGTCCAATCGACTTATTTTGAGTCCAAAAATACGTGGTGCTTCTATGTCATGGGACATCCAAGAACATTTGTTTAGAACAATAGTCATCATCTACAAAGAGGCTTTAGGCAGAACGAGGAACCCTCGTATTTCATTATACGTATAAAAAAAATAAAGTTTCACAGTATTCCAGAGTAAAATTTCATCTACCAATCTACATTCCATTACCAAGTGATTTAAACACGCACCCCTGCTTGGAGCCTCAACTTGCCATATGACGTCAGGTCAGTCTGATCGCCTGTAATTGCGAAATAAATACATCCTCCATTTACTCTCTTTTTCTTGACATAATATTAACTTCTCCACTCTATTTCTCTCTGAGGTTGACGTGTGTCTAAGGTGATGCCCCGTGACAATATTCTGCGAATCGACTTTTATATTTTATGGTTTTATAAATAACATTGATATCGGCCAAATTTGATGTTTCTGTTTACATTCCAGAAATGTTCACCTATTCGTCGTAAACATTTGAACTCAACTTCACATTCATAACGTAGTTTTTCCAACTTTTGTGTCATTATGACATATCACGAGACACATACCACCAAATGTTCGCTACTTAACATGACTGTATTGCCAGTCCTTATATTGTGGTTACTAAAAATACAAAGTGCCAAGTAACGTTCGACATTGAGCATTATCTTCACGTTTGGCAACCTCAATGAAAGTTTTGTTTGTATTCTTGAATTGTGTACGGAAAACAACGGGACTTTTTAAATTTCGCGGGTTTAATTGTCAATTTTTTTATGTTGGTGTGTAGATGCCCCGGAAGTATGATAGAAATTTCAGTAGTATTTATTGTTGACTTCGCCTGTGGCAGCCGGTAAGAATAGACGTGATTTTCGCTTTTTTTTTAAAGAATCAAATGATTTCCATCAGATTTTGCGTAAAAATTAACAAAATCTACGGTGAGTCAGGTATGAGTAGAACAAGAGCTTACGAGTAGTATAAGCGTTTCCAAGATGGGCGTGAAAATGTTGAAGATAATGAACGCTCCAGCCCATCATCAAACGACGTTTCTCTAAGCAATCCGAAAAAAAAATGTCCGGATTTGTGGAAAAAAATCGTGGCAATACACCTGCTCACACTTCATTGCTTGTGCGTGAATTTTTGGCCAAAAACACTAATGTAACAACGCTCCAGCCTCCATATTCGCCGGACATTTCTCCGTGTGACTTTTTTATTTCCAAATATTTAGAGAAACTTAAAAGGCCCGCCGAGAAGAGGTTTGAAAGAAGCGCTAGCACAGGTGCATAATATCTAATGCCGACTATTTTCAAAGCGATAAGATTAATATAGACTAATAAATGAATATTTTTTCGAAAAACGAAAATCCGTTATTTTCTGAACACCTCGTATATTGATGCATGTGTTGTATAATATCAGTGGACAGTATCGAATGCAATCAGTTTCAACCACAGTTTTTCTTGTTAACATATGCAAAAGTAATTCTTGACTGTAAATCTTGTTCATCTTGAAATGCAGTTAGTTCTAAATGTTTTTTAAAATTTCTACGAAAAAATGGTACAATCCATTCCTTTCCCAGAAATAATAGGGTTAAGTTAATTAGTACTTGGAAAACAGCTAAACAAAATATGCTCCCGATAGTGCCAGTTCATACTGATTTGGTGACAAAGTGATGTGTTATCAAAAAAAAAAACGCAAATATTGAACCGTTTTTTCGGTCCATCATTAAGAACAATGAGTTGATTATAAGGATTCGTTAGTTGAATATTTGGTTTTACGTATAAGTGGTTTGGTGTTGCCAGAAACAGTCAAAATTCAGTTACACAAAGGCATTACGGATTAATGTTGCTGTATAAATCCTAACCGTCATAATTGCGTGTGGTGGAATTAATTTTTGTCAGTAAACCTTTCAAATTGTAATTTTCATTTTATGTACCTCCGAGGTTTGCGAGATACTGTATGATGCAGTTCGTACCAAGATTCCATGTCGCTGCAAATATGAGCGGTACTAGAGAAGAAATCTACCTAGCCATGAAACAAAAGACGTACGATTATTTTGTAAATTTTTCGATTGTTTTTTAATGGCTAGGTAGATGTCATTTCTAGTATTCCTCGTATGTTTATCGTTCATTTTCCAGCTACTAATATTGTGACAAACGATGATACATCTAGTTGAATTTTTTGTACCCTGGATCAGATGCTCGATATAATGAATTGTTCTCGAAATAGTAGCATACATTTTTTAACATGAATACCTGTAAGAACCTGATGAGTATATAGAAAAACATGCTACAAGGTAGCCAACACAACGTTGGCGATATATTTGCAGCTATTAAAAAACCTTGTTAGGCTCAATGTAAAAAAGTGGCATATTTATATAGATGTACTCTTCAGTTTTATCGAAAGATGCTCCACAGCTTGGATAGCAACTTGGTGCTGTTAAATTTTGTATCTGTGGTCATTATGGAATTTTGGTAGGGTTTTGCTGTAACATAGCTCACATATATAATGTTCATTATCAACCAATTTTGGAGTCTAGTGATATACGTAGCCACACTGGCGGTTGCATTATGAAACAGTGAAGATGCAGGAACATTCTTTTATATTCGACTAGTAAGCCCCTTACATCGAAACTATACATTTTCTAAAAAAATTATTAGTAGATGACTTGGCAATACTTTCTTATTTCACCATTTGATATGTGTTAAATTAAAACTATGATTTCTTAACATTGAATTTTAAATATCAAAAATACTAACTGCACTAATTTGTCGCATATACAGGATGTTTTGGAAGTTAGAACTTTCCTTTTCAGGAACAACTAAGCTTGAAGTGACACTGAAACGACAACCAAAAAAAAAAAAACGCGTTAATAGCAAACTGAGCTAAAATGTAGAAAATAATTTTCAACTTTAGAAGAGTTCGTTACTGCACGAGGAAGTCCAACAATCAAGTATGACTAAATGATTTGGAACAATATCAATTTGAAAATTAAGATAGTAACAAAAAAATCAATTATAATAAAACTATGAAAATATAGTTAAATGCATCGCACACCTTTTACTTTATTTGAATTTTTGATATTTTAAATCATACTTGACTGTTGGAGTTTCTATTGGAGCAACACAAACTCACCTATACTTAAAAATTTTCTACTTTTAAGTTCGATTTGCTATTAAAGCATGTTCTTTTAGTTTTTTTAAACGATAATTTGTTTGAATTCCTAATCTGAAAAGTACGTATAATATAATCAACAGTTTCGATTGTTGGTATATTTTATATTTAACAATAAATCTAAATTTACTTCATTATTTCAAATTTCGAAATTAACAAACTTTTCTTTCAAATTTGAAAATTTGGAAAATAACTAGGAAATTCAAAAATATGGAAAATAATTTGAAGATTTGGAAATTTTGAGAAAATATACCAAAAATCGACGCTCTTGATTCGTTGTCGTTTTGAGATTAAAAATTCTGAAAATAAGGAAAATGTTCGACCCAATTTCAGCAATTTAAAAAAATCTGTTTAACTTGAAAATTTGCACAGGGCTCAAGAGCTGATTACAATACAATAATCTTGGCAAAAAATCGAATTAGAAAATAAAAAAATAATTTTGAAGTTTGGAGAAAGTGGATTTGAAAATTTGGAAATTTTGAAAACATTTTGAAAATTTGAAAAAATATACCACAAATCGAAGCTCCTGATTCGTTTTTGTTTTTCAGACTAAAAATTCAGAAAACAAATTATAGTGCAAAAACATGCATTAATAGCAAATCTAACTAAAAAGTATAAAATAATTTTCAAAAATAGAATATAGAAAGAACTTTTGTTTTTTTTTTCAAAAACTAAAATTCATTACAGAACATATAAGCGGTGTGAAGGAAAGCTTCAACTTTGAGAACGACCTGAATAATATTCAACAATTTATCTAGAAAACTTTCAGTAAGATTTCTTTAGAACAGACAACAAAATACAACTGCCTTTTGCTTAGATGTTGGTCGTTTCTTCGCAGTTTCTAGCATCTGCCAATAGCGCTGCGTGAACTGTTTATATATTAATAATTTTTTATCTGATCTCACGTCATGATTATTAAACTACATTTTGGCTATGGTGACATGTTTTAGAGACTAGTCAAACAAAAAATGTGATAAAAGCAATTTGCTGCAATTGTTTTGTTTTATTTCTAGCCGGCTTGATTCTTACGATTTCAATCTGTTTATGTCGTGCTACAGAATAAGATTTTATTTTCTTCAACGGATCAATATGGATTTTGTAAATTCAATAGCAGCTAGTAGTATTTTATTAATATATCTAGTTAATATCTATACTTTAATATGCATTTACAATAACAAATTTCCCATGTACGTTTTTTAATAAACTTGTTTCTTCTTGTATTCTTTTTTTTATAACCCAGTTCAAACCATGCATTATACAGGGTGTCCCAGAAGTCGACGTCAAGCCGAAACCGGGTAATAGGCAAAGTCATAACAGCTATCAGAAAAATATTTAAAAAAATTTTATGTATGTGTTTTGAAAATTATAGGTCTGAAAAAAATATAGAAATTTCACACCCTACGGCAGTCTGTCAACTCCTGTTACTACAAATATTAACTTTTTTTGGATTTTATTTTTACAATGTAATGATGGATAATGCATATTCAAACTGGTGTCTCAACCTTACTGCCAACTTTTCTCGTTCAGGAAAAATTGCCACTTATTTCCCAACCAAGTATTCCAAAGTAAAACTTTGCTCAACTTTAACTGGCTGTACTGGAAAAAAGTGTACTACGAGAGTTTGGCAAGTAACCTTAAAAGTTGGCGCATTTAATAAGGATTCCAAAATGGTATAACACTTAGAAGATTACTCGTTAACTTATGGACAATTTTTATTTGAAGAAAAACTGATGAAAATTTTTCAAAATTTCCCAATTAAACAGCGATTATGAAAACGCACAAGGACCCTTAAGGATAACTGTTTGCACAACAGTGGACGTCAAAATGCTGCTGATGATGATTTACCTTTACAGCAAATGCTCAAACTGTTTTCCTTCAGCCGCAATACACGCTCGACATCTTCTTAAAAAAGATCGGGTTATTAAACGAGCGAATCCACGGTTATTAACACTCAGCTGCTTCCAATAGTCTTTGCCGTAGCTCAGCTACATTTTGAATCGGCTTGAAATACACTTTTACAGTTCCCCAGTAAAAAAAATCTAACGGATTCAAATCTGGTGACCGGGCTGGCCACGGTATTGTACCAGACCGCCCTATCCATCTGCCTGGAAAGTTTTAATCGAGATACTCTCTCACTGAGAGTGCATAGTGCGCTGGGCAGCCATCATGCTGAAACTACATGTCCCTGTAAATACTCAGTGGCACGTCCTCCAATAAATTTTCTAAATGGTTTTGCAAAAAACCTAAATAAACCTCAGCAGTCAAAGTCTCTGGGAACTCAAACGGACCGATTATTTTACCATTTAAAATTCCTGTCCAATGGTTTATCTTGAAGCGATACTGAGATTTATCTTCTCTCATCAAATGTGGGTTTGCTACGCACTCGTGTAAGTTATGCAGGTTCATGTACCCATCTTTCTTAAATGTGGTCTCATCTGACCATAAATTTTTTTCAAAGAACCGTGGATCTTCCCTGTGTCCTTCTAACATTGTGCGACAAAAAGCAACTCGGGGCTCATAATCCCGGGGCAGAAGAGCTTGAACACGCTGTACGTGGTATGGATGGAGCACGTTTTTTTGCAAGATTCTATGGGCTGTACTTTTGGGCACACCTGTTTTTAGTTCTATTGCACGCACTGAAGTACTCGGGTCTTCTTCGACAGCTCCTAGCACCACGTCACGTAAGGAAGGAAAGATCTTCCCTCACCGTGTGATTGGTTTGGTAGTTGGCCCTCTGAGAACAGTAAGCGGTGCACATTTGTGAACACTCGATGATCTGGTTGACGAGCTGCATTCGGGTACCTCTCACAGTAAAGTCTCGCTGCAGCACTAGCGTTGCTTCTGCATTCTCCATAAATGAGGTGCATGTTAGCATATTCTTGTACGGTGTACACGGACATAGCGGCACTGCACAATCACACTATCAAAGATAGTCTAAGGGAAGCAAATGTTGTTTTGAAGAGCAATTAAACAGTCCAAATCCAAACCACAAGCGATCAACAGTCCAGTTCACGAATCCAAAATTAGTAACAGTACGAAATCAACAAGCACGAACATGTAAAGATGCGCAATAAACGGAGTACTGATCGGTATCAAAGTGTGCAGTAGCAAGTAAGTGATGTGCTTCATCCATACCACATACAGCGTGTTCAACCTCTCCTGCCCCGGGATTATGAGCCCCGAGTTGCTTTTTGTCGCACAATGTTAGAAAGATACAGGAAAGATCCACAGTTCTTTGAAAAAATGTTATGGTCGGATGAGACCTCATTTAAGAAAGATGGGTACATGAACCTGCATAACTTACACGAGTGGCACGTAGCAAACCCACATTTGATGAGAGAAGATAAATCTCAATATCGCTTCAAGATAAACCATTGGACAGGAATTTTAAATGGTAAAATAATCGGTCCGTTTGAGTTCCCAGAGACTTTGACTGCTGATGTTTATTTGGATTTTTTGAAAAATCATGTACAAAATTTATTGGTGGACGTGCCACTGAGTATTTACAGGGACATGTGGTTTCAGCATGATGGCTGCCCAGCGCACTATGCACTCTCAGTGAGAGAGTATCTTGATCAAAACTTTCCAGGCAGATGGATAAGGCGGTCTGGTACAATACCGTGGCCAGCCCGATCACCTGATTTGAATCCTTTAGATTTTTTTACTGGGGAACTGTAAAAGAAAAAGTGTATTTCAAGCCGATTCAAAATGTAGCTGAGCTACGGCAAAGACTATTGGAAGCAGCTGAGTTTGTTAATAACCGTGGATTCGCTCGTTTAATAACCTGATCTTTTTTAAGAAGATGTCGAGCGTGTATTGCGGCTGAAGGAAAACAATTTGAGCATTTGCTGTAAAGGTAAATCATCATCAGCAGCATTTTGACGCCCAATGTTGTGCAAACAGTTATCCTTAAGGGTCCTTGTGCGTTTTCATAATCGCTGTTTAATTAGGAAATTTTGAAAAATTTAACATCAGTTTTTCTTCAAATAAAAATTGTCCATAAGTTAACGAGTAATCTTCTAAGTGTTATACCATTTTGGAATCCTTATTAAATGCGAAAACTTTTAAGGTTACTTGCCAAACTCTCGTATTACATTTTTTGCCAGTACAGCCAGTTAAAGTTGAGCAAAGTTTTACTTTGGAATACTTGGTTGGGAAATAAGTGGCAATTTTTCCTGAACGAGAAACGTTGGCAGTAAGGTTGAGACACCAGTTTGAAGATGCATTATTGATCATTACATTGTAAAAATAAAATCCAAAAAAAGTTAATATTTGTAGTAACAGGAGTTGACAGACTGCCGTAGGGTGTGAAATTTCTATATCTTTTTCAAAGACCTATAATTTTCAAAACACATACATAAAATTTTTTTAAATATTTTTCTGATAGCTGTTATGACTTTGCCTATCACCCGGTTTCGGCTTGACGTCGACTTCTGGGACACCCTGTACATTAGTGGTGTGTAATTCGCGAACTGAACTAAACTGGTGGACAGTTCTTTGCAACATTTCACTCGATATTTTCGGAACGCAAAGAGATATCGAATAGCGATATTCGGGAGGTTCTTGACCAACTCTTTGAGAACACGTACAGTGTTCGATCGGTACATATTTCTTTTATTTATCCACTTATACAGGGTGAGAAAAGAAAGTCGTTTTTTAGCAAAGTTTGGGGCTATGTCAGACATTTGAGGAAAACTACAAAAAAAACTCTTCGGCTGTAACTGAATCACTATTACAGATGAATATTCCATTGTATTACATCTCTAATCGGATAAATGTTTAACTTCTTCGAGCACCCTTTTTTGTGTTTATGTGCCCCTATACGATGCTTCCTCCATTCTCAGGATGAAGTTTCCAGCGGAAGGTTGTACATTTTATGGGTTGTGTTCGTCGGTCCACTTGCAAATGTTTTATCATCTATTTCATTATGTAAGCTGCCCAATCATTTTCTAATAAAACGCAGATATATCTTCATGTTTCACTGCGAATAAATCAAGACGTTCCCTAATTCTGGGTTCATTTATTAACCTAAAAAAAAGTAGCATTGAAGTAATCGTTTATACGAGGGTCATTTTTTCAAGTACGAGCCGATTCAGAGAAATTTTATTTATGGATGTAAATTGTATCAGAAACTAAAATATGAACGTTTTTTTAACATATCAACCAGTTTTTTGTTAATGTAGCATCTGAAACTTATCCTGTTCTCTGTTCTCTGGCTAATCGAAACCGTGTGTTGAAAAAAATCTTCTTTATTGTAAACGTTTCCGTGACAAGTATGACATTCTTCAGTAGAATGACTTCGACGAATATATTTTATTTGTGTCTTCCAGGTGACACTTTGTTTGCTTTTCTTTTCATATTCCTATTCAGTGTGTTACTACAATAATGCAGATTGTGTCGAAGAAAATCTGAATAAATTTCACCGGTCAGTCGAGGTTGAAAAAAATAGGGTCCAATAAGCATGTCATTTACCACGCCAGCCCAAACATTTAATGAATATATATTGTGAAAATGAGTTTTTTACAGCATGCGGATTTTCTACTGCCCAAACATAATTTTTGTCGAAATTGTGCAGTCCACTTTGTTTAAATGTCGCCTCGTCTGTACACAAAATGAATTTCTCCCGAACTGTTCTAAAAGCGACTGCTAAATGCAACTCTTCTATGATAATCTTCAGGTTGTAACGCTTGATAATGATAATACTATTCGTATCGTATTGTCTTCCACACTTTACTATGAGAAACTTTATCTTGAGCTGCTATGGCTCTAGTACCCATTGTTGGGTCGTATTTGACCATTTCTAATATACAGGGTGACTTCGAAGTTGAGTCATTTATTTTAACAGTGAGTAGATCTGATCAAAAGAAATGTTTTTTCCTTTACCATTTTTCTGGTAAAATTAAAGTAACAAAGTTATAGCCCTTTGGAAGTTTGAGTACCGCCCTGTCTCAATAATAATATCATGTGCTCGTGTTTGGCAACAACGGATATAATCCGCCTTATGGGTTCATCGCATCGGAAACAAAAAAGCGAAAGAATTTGGAACGATGTTTTTACAGTTATTTGTATACAGTCAGTGTCAGTCGGTAACGCGTGAGTGAATAGTGGTGTCTGTTGCGTGGCTCAAACGAAATCAAAAATGGCACATGTTTACGAAAATGCTGAACTTGTGGACATGCGGCATCACGGATTTATGCGGATCGGTTTCCCAATCG